GGGGTTTCGAAGATTGTGATTCCATTGTGTCCTTCCTCTTCGTTTTGTTTGTTTTTTTAAATGTAGTGTCTCACGTCGGTCACCAGTTTGTAGAGGGTGCAAAGAAGTCCCTCAAACAAAAATAAAAAAAGAAAATACACTACAAATAAAGTAAAATAAACTTTTGTTTATTTTTGTAAAGAATTTTTTTTTTTCTTGTACAAAAATGAAATTATCCGTAAAGCTGCGGAAGAAAAAGAGAAAGAAAGGAACTGGGAATGTGAGAGGGAAAGGTAGGACTATGTGTAGCGAGCGAGATGAGAGAAAGAGAGGGTGAAAGAATGTTCACTGATACGTGATACTGCCTGTTGTGTGAACTGGTGAATTCTCTGTGTGTGTGTGTGTGTGCTCGAAACTGTCCGTGTCGCTTTGATGTCAGCTTGTCGCTGTTCTCTCTCCGTTCTGATGAGAGTTTCTACCTTCCTTATATAAGAATGATGAGGCTCCGGGGAGATTAAGAAATGGGTCTCTTATGTCGAGCCCTGATTGGTCAATAAATCATATTTTTGACCACGTGGTGTGCTTTTCACTACGTCCAAACTTTTGGGTGCGCCGTCCTTGTTTTTTACTCCATGGCATGGTAAGGAGTGAATTCCCGCGCAATTGTATTTTTTGATACACGTGGTGTGAATTAATTTTTATTGTGTGTATGTGGAAAAATAAGAAACAGCACAACTTATCCGATATTTTCTTCATTAGCTCACGAACTCATAAAGATTTCTAGTCTGGCCGTAATCTGATACTTAATTATATTTAATGCTATTTTAACTTTTAAAAAGTATACCAACCTAGAACAGTTTTAAAAAATGCATCGATAAGAGGGAATAAAATTACTAAAATATATTTTCCTATACAGCGCGCATGCGCAGACATAACTCACAGCTCTTGTAAATAAAATTTAGTGTTAACACAGAAATAATAAAAAAATAAATGTAAAGTGTAGTTAATTATCATTGAATTCCTACAAACCAAGTGTAGCTATTTTTTATTTATTGATAATTCTTTGTCCGTCAACAAAATAAGATTATGAATATTTCTTTTTGATCGTGTTTTTAATTAAGGGGTTATTTTGTCACCATATTCAGACCTAAACTGATGACTATGTGGTTTTCTCTTTTAATAAAAGGTAGGGAAATCATTTATCTTTTGATAACGTTGTTCTTTTCTTTATTCACCACAATGTAACAATTAAGATTAAGAATAGTAGTCATGACTCCATCTATCAGTAAAGGTAGGGGTGCTTCACTTAAGACTAACGTATATCCGTGACTAGGTCAATTGTAGCTGATGTATTTTTTTAAAATCATATTGTAGTGATTGATAATTACAGCCACTCCATTTAATTTCCTTGTCATAGATTTGCATTCCATATCAAATCACCAGCCTTCCAAACAAAATTACCCCACTTAAAATATTTTTAGTAACAATCATTATGATCGCAACCTTGATAATGTGCCCTCAGATTCCCCAGTTACCAGGCCTCTGGATTAAACACTGAACTAAATTACTAGAGCGATGTTTGAGCAGAGATCATAGCATAGAAATAATTATTATTTGAAGCATTTATATTCCAATACTGTAGTGAATTTTACTAGCGGAAAGGCGTACTATACAAAGTTTTGTCAGATAATATAGAAAAAGATATTTTTCCTAACCGATTGCGTTTGTTGGGATGCGTCAACCCAAAATTTTGTTGCTATATGAGTGTTGGGATTTCAAACATTAACAAGAACGCATTTTTTAAATGAAACTTAAAAAAGATTATTTTCTAAATAGAAATGTAGAAAGAGAACGTCAGTTGAAATAACATTTATATACTCTGTTCAGAAATATACAATAACAATAAAATATTAAATTTTCCTTGCAGTGAAGTTTTTTTTTTATAAAATAATTTGTTCGTACTGCGATGTGAGATGTGTGGATAGGTTACTTTATGATGTTCAGGCTAATGTGCTTGTGAGTTCGTAGACAAAACCTTAGTCGGCGGGTGCTAACTGTCATCTCTTCATTGTGTGTCTGTGTGTGTGCGTACCTGTAGATAAAACTGGCCACCGAAATCGTTTTGAGCCCCGAGAAGCATGATGCTTCCATTTTTATATCCGTAAGGGAGATCCAAAATCTAATTTTACATAGAAGTATGAATTTTTTAATACAAACTTTTCATTAGTCAGAAAATAATTTCAGACTGGCTCGCGAAAATCTTTTTCTCGAATTTGCGGGAGTGGTGCAAGGAGTTATTATTACTATTTTCTAAATGGTCCCAAAATAATACGTGTTAGGTCTACAACTAAAAGTATTTTAGAAGTATTTTGGCAGTATTTTTTGTTTATCAAGAAAACCTTCTGATGGAATTTTATTGGTTGTAAAATATATATATAGGATTTAATTCCTATACGTTTAATGCGCCACACCAACCTAACATTTTGGCAAAATTTAAAACACCCTATCCAATTGCTCTTAGTGAGATTTTTTATACGGCTTTCCGGAAATCGCCTCTGACGAGGGTGCGCGGATAAATACTGTGAGTTAACCCAACATAGCATTGCCACAACGTTATTAGGTGGCGTTGTCAACGAGCTATAAAAACGAGACACTTCTTATCTTTCTCTCTCTTTTACTCCTAGCACGCTTTAGTGACAGCAGTAATGAGGCCTGGGCATAGGGGTATTTTCCCTTTAGTGATTGAACTGCACACGCACACATGTGGAAAATAATGTTTGCTAGTGCTTTTAGTCTAACTACAATAGAAGAAACGACTTCCCGACGTGATTGCAACATACATCTACTACAACTATGCCTACTGAGTGAAGAAAAGATATAATATTCATGTTTTCGATGATACCGTAAGTGCCAATCATTGTTAAATGAGGAGAAAAACAGTGGCCACAACTTATTGTATTATGGCTATGATAACACAAGATTCAGGGAAAGTAGTATTCATGCCTATCGTAATGTTTTGTAATATTGACAAAAACTTTGACTCCGTCCATTAATCGTATTCTAAACAAATACTACAAAAACGATGTTCACCAAAAATCTTTCTTAAATAAGATAAAACTAGAAAGCACTCAAGAAACCATAATTCTGCTATTACCATTAGAAATTGAACAATTAGGCTAGAGATATCAGATTATGCAGCGATTCAAAAGTGTGTACTAATTACAACATCAATAGTTGAAGAAACAACTATAATGAAGTTTATTATATTTATTTGCAAGACTCGTGAACAGTAATTAAGCACAGAAATGTAATAGTTATGTAAATTTTTAAATATTCATATCTATTTGATAAACGAATATCCAAACAAAATATTTATCTATAGTCCTTAATATTTACTTACATTATTTTATTTACTGTTATTATGTCTTACAATAACAAAATCTCAAACATTCCTAAATCCAATCCCAAATTTTGTTGCTTGATTCACAACACAGCATTTCACAAAATTTCCGTGTTGCAGATCTGCTCTTAGTTGGAATAAAAGCAGTGGCAAACAAAAGTTACAAGTTGTCGTTACTTGTAGAGGTGAAAGGAAATGGAATAAATTTCAACAAGGCGATATTTTCATGTTTTTATATATGGCTAATAAATGATTAACAACAAATAAAATATACTTGTATGCATGCAAAAATAACTGAAAAGGCATTAAAATCTAGCTAATAGGAATCGTGATACACATGTGTGTGAAAGAGTTCAGTCATTCGATGGAAGATATTTTTTACAAGAGACAGATCAGAGCAAAGATGGAATATCGTTGCCCTATCCGAGTTGGAACTGTCTAGTCCTCACTTTCCGGCCTTGATATAATTCAGAAGCGTCGACGCGGCATTGTGGTTTACTATTTTCCACTCTACAACCCCTCTCCCGCAGACGAAACATTGCAAGCCACTCGCTACCCTATTGCTACATCCATGAAAAATGTTCAGACAAGCTAGATTCCTTAGTTCCACCAGGTTTGATCTTCACATATAAAACCCACCATAGAACGTACACAGAGATAAATAATCCTCATTTCCTTCGTATTCCATTAGTAAGGAGGAAGCCTCATTCGGACAGCTTCTTACAAAGAGACGCTACTTTGTGGAACAGATTCCTGAGAGGTTGCTTTCCCGATCACTACAATATTCATGTTTAACGTTAGCTGTTATCCTTCCTACATCCTCTTAAGCTGTACTTATTATCACCATACTTTCATAAAACAACCTAATTCAGAAACCCTCTGCCTTGAGTTGTTCTTAGGCCTTGTATTAGGTGAAAAATTGTAAAATAAAATATGTATGATTCATTGCATGAGAATAAAGATAGTATTAATTATCTTCTTCCACTTGAGGGCAAATATGACACGAGGTCGGTTTAATGCGTGCATAAAGAGGTTAAGAGCAAAGGAATGTTATTTTTCCTCAGCACTTTTCTTTTGAGACATCTCGAGCATTAGGGAATTACCCTATCCCAATTCAGTGAGAGGTGTGCTGTCTGGAGGAATGTCCACCACTTGGAGCTGAGCATAATTAATGTGCACAAGAAATTAAGCAAAATAATTTTCGCTGAATTTGATATTTTTATCATAGCAACTTCATTATTAAATTTTTAATTAGTTGAAATTTCTTTCTTGATAAGCAAGACTAGATAATATGGATATTGATAAAGACCTTAAGGCTTTGGTAGCTTTTGCAGTTGTGTTTCTGTCAGTGTAAGTAGTCTGTGTTCGAGTCCAGGCAAGAGCCGCGGTTTTGAACATGAAACTATATGACCCAGAATTGCGATTTGACTCAACATATGAGCGACACCTCATTTTACTGTAATATTTGGCATCATGTCATTATACAAAAAAAAAAAAAAAATTCATTACATTTATTTTCAGATAAGGGAGATAACCGTGCATATATTTCTAGAGGCAAATATTTCTCATCTATTTATCTTACGAATTCAAATTTCTTTACGTTTTTTTCCTTATCTTTCAGATTGGCGCGTCAATATTTGCAAGCAACATCGGAGCACCATTGTTTGTCGGTCTTTCAGGTTCAGCTGCAGCTTCTGGCATTGGAGGAATGATTTTTGAATGGCATGTAAGTGTGAAAAAAAATTGAAAATCTGCAAAAAATCACTTGAAATCATATTTTATATTTTTTTATTAGTAGTATTTATTAAGCTTAATTTAATCTCCATATATTGAGCATGTAATTCATTATAGTTGCACCCTCCCATATTCGCGGTTTCAGTTGTCAGGACAGTCCCAGAAATAATGTTTTACTTAATGATGGTTTCATGAAGATGTCAATATGGTTATGCCAAGCAAAAGTCATAAAGTGCTTCCTTTTGAGAGGAAAAGACGAAAGTTCTGAACTTCAAGAAAGAAAAAATATCGTATGCTGAGTTTCCTAAAATCTACGTTCAAAACAGATCTTCTGTTATGCAACTTTTGTTAAAGTATAAGTATTTTTAATAATTGGTTTATCATTGTTTAAGGTTCTTTTTTACTAACTTATAAATTAAACATGATCATAGGTATAGATCGGAAAACGTAGTTAGGTACTATATGCGTTTTCAAGCATCCATGTAGGGAATAATATAATATATGGCATCCCATTTTTTCATAACCGGTTCTATAAAGGCAGGTAATCTTTAGGAACCTATTCTGCTTATTTTATTTTCAATCTGAGAATGGCAACAAATCACTTTATAGTATCAAAAAGAATTAAACCAGTTTGATAATTTAATAAAAAGCGTTTATTTATTAAGTTATTTCCACAATGAAATTTCTGTTCAGAAGTATAACACTTTTTGCCAACCCCTCTCTCACAGGTGAGATGTGGCGAGTCTCTTACTGCTCTTTGGCTACTTCCATAAAAAGTGCTCGGATGAACCACATTCCTTGGTTCAACCAGGTGTAACATTCACGGCTAGGACTCACCATGCTGCCTACATTGTAGTAAACCACCCACGTTCCTTCCGTATTACATCGGGGAGAAGTAAGTTCCACTTGAACAGTTTCTTCCGCGAATCACTGCTCCGTGGGACAGACTCCCCGATCACTACAATCTTAATCAGTTCAAGTTTAGAGTTAACCGTTATCTTCCCCTCTTATTCATATACTACCCTTTAATATAACCTTCTACTTCGAGTACAGCTTGGCCTTGTACAGAGTGAACCTTACTGTAAAAAAAAAAAAAAAAAAAACTATTTACATTGCTCGGACTGTTGTCTCATTTTATTCATCATATGCACGAAATTTCGACCGTTGTACGCTCGGGCCTTCTTCAGGTGATTGGAATTTCGAAATCAGCCAGAACAACGTAAATAGTGTATATTTATTACAATACTTCATCTCAGAAATATAGACAAAAAACTATATACCTAAAATATTTGTTCGAAACTGTAGAGAAAATTTGTCATAACAGGCAATAAATGTTTTTTGCTTGCTATCCTTGAATTTATTATGTTCTTAATTTTCATCAACGACTTCCTTGTGTTATCAGTTCTCGACTCGATATCTATGTTGATGGTAAGTCTGTTTACTGTCGTCAGTATTTACTTTTGACTCCCTACCGATTCAGGACGCGACACAAGGTTAGTTTGTTTTAACGTGGGGAACCAGAGTGTCTCCACTCAGGCCATTGGTTAATTCCTTGTCTTAGCTTGTCATAGCTTGTCTTATCTAGTCATAGCCAGTCAAAAGCCACGGTACGGAACAGATCCGATGATTCTGTCTAAGCAGAGGGAGGAGGACCCGGTTCGGAACAGATACTACGACAGCATCTCCTCCACTCCAGATTTTTCTTCTCTTCCCGTCATGGTGAGTCTGTTTACTGTCGTCTATATTTACTTTTGACTCCCCACTGAGTCAGGATACGACACAAGGTCAGTTTCTTTCAACGTGGGGAACCCGAGTGGAGATACTCGGGCCGCTGGTCTTAGCTAGTCAATAAATTACGCTACGGAACAGATCCGAAGATTCTGTCCAAGCAGTAGCGTGGGGGGGGGGAGATAGATGCCTCGGCATGGAACAGATACTACAACAGCAGCATCTCCTCCGCCCCAAGATGTTTTTCTCTCCTGCCGTCTTAATGGCGAGTCTGTTTACTGTTGTCTCAATGGCGAGTCTGATAGGTCTGATAAGGTTACATTAACAACTGACCTCAAAAATTATCTACAATCTGTTGTTAACTGAGGCAAGAAATAGCTTGTTGAATTTAACACCTTCAAAACGAAACGGCTCCATTTTTAATCGTCTTTTCCGCTAGTATAACGACAACAAAGATAGATATTAATCCGGATAATTAATATCATAATGCCAATGCTTAATTCCTGGCAACTTTCAGACAACAAAATTAGTCTTAGTTCGAAAGAGTAGGACGAGTTGATTTTGGAACCGTGGCATTGCACTCAATTTGAAAGTCTTGGTTTGACATGATAAAATATGTTTTTCCTAATCGTTATCTTTTTTTGAAGAAACGAGTTTAAGGATTAAGTTTAGTTTCAAAATTGAACCGTAAGAATTTAATTCCGATGATCAGGGAAAGCCTTATATCACAGCCTTATAATATTTACAATTGGAATATATGCACCTAATTGGTTTGAAATTACAAGGGATAATACATTCCATAATTAACAACTGTATAACTTCAATATGATCTAGAGAATAAAGCAATAGTCAACCGAAATACAAAATGTTGCATTAAAAAAATGTACATTTTAATACTTTCACCTGAAAAGAAATGTACATTTCAATTCTTTCAATGTACAAAAATGTACATTTCAATGCTTTCATCTGAAAAGATGAATTGAAGCTGAGGGAAGAGGCTATAAAAAAGGTCCATTAGTTAAGTAAACATTTATATTCATCGTTAATTAGTTATGTCAATTTACAAGACTAAATTTGTTGATTAGCCTTTTTTTGTAATATACAATTTTTATACAGTGTTCACTTATCGAATAGAGTAAAAAAATTGCATATTTTGTTTGTGGTGATTCATAATTAGAATTCTGGTTTGAAAATATTTTCCATTCAATGTATCTAATATAAAATATATCAACTTTATTTGGATTTATTCTTGAAATAGTAAAATTTTGAAGTCAGTTTGTAAGCAAAAGTCTGCGGAAATTAAGTACTGCCGTGCATTTTTTTTCAGACGATCTTTAAAACGAAATGCTCAAGAATTGGTAAAAGTTATAAATCTAATTTTTGGTGTCAGAACTTATCACATTAAACCCCAGCTTTCGTACTGAATGCAATGTTAATTTTCTACAAAGAAAAAGTGAAGTCAGTCAGTCAATGAATGTGTGTCTGAGAGAGAGAGAGAGAGAGAGAGAGAGAGAGAGAGAGAGAGAGATGAATCAGTCATATTGGATGTATTTGCATCCTTATTCAACAAGTTTCTTTCTAATATATTGTTGAACATTAGATACAAGAAAAGTTTACTAATATATTTTGCTTCATAAGTCGATATCTATTTATATACGCTTTCTGTTTGCAGGCGATTCCATTCATTTTAACCCTTGGCTGGATATTTATCCCTGTTTTTGTTGCTTGTGGGGTAAGTATACTTAATAAATTCATCTATTTCTATTTATTAATAGTTCAAGTACAACTTTTTTTCCAAAATCGTTTAAGTTTGATCTAGCTTTAAAATAGTATAGTATTATTGTTCATTAGTTTCTTGGGTCATTATCACCCTCGTTAACTAATAATAACAATAAATATAGGTATTTACGAAGCTTAGTGTGATATCATGACTCTTCAAAGTTGCGAAATGTAGGACTCAGATGATGGCGTAATTCGAAATGCTCTCGAGAATTAGGGATTTGTGTCGTGCTTGTAGTGCTGAACCACAAAAAGGTTTGACTAATCAAGACTAGACACATCGGGAACCGGCAACCAGAACACATTTAGCAGCCACAGAAGATCGAGAGTTGAAGAGTAGTAGTTTTGAGTACAAGATTAAAATATGTATATCTCCTTATGCCGGCAGATAAGTTGACACTTTTTTCTGCTTACTGAATTTTTCATTTCTTTTCTTTTTTTATCTCCTTTGCTGAGTGTTGAAAAGTGTTGTCTCGCTTCTGAGATAAATTTGCGGTACGTTGGAACAGAGACACCTTTTTTGTAGCAGGCAGTCGTCCTGATTAGTTCTGTAACCGGGTTGATTTTTGTGGTTGTTAATGTAGTATTTTTTTTATTTGTGGTGGTAGCTGATAAAAAAAAACCCTTTTTACTTTTTTATATTGAAAACGAAATGAAAAAAAGTACAATAATATAAACAATATTACAGAACATACGTGTTGACATTAATAACAAGAATGTGTATATTTTTTTCGTGTTGTAAATTACAGATATTAGTATGGCGGGTGTTAAAATGTTCTCAGTGTTACTGTCTCTTTAAAAAGTTTGTGCATAGTTGTTTTGCTTGTTCAGTGAATTTCGTTGCTAAGGATATCGTTTGAGATCGTCAACTTTCGATTTTCCGGAGCGATGGTGATTGATGTGTTGTGTTCCTTTTTACTACTGCTACTCTAGTCTACTCTACTGATCCTACTGTCCCAACTTCCCTCGCTTGTGGTGGAAGGATCGTTTTTATAATCAAATTTTAGAATGATGAAATATCTTTCTCATCTTTTATCACTGGTGGCAAGGTTGTTTTTAGGATGTTGAAATTTTTTATCTTTATTTCAGGGATGATGAAATATCCTTATTTTCTATCATAACTGATGACAAGATTATTTTTAGAATGATGAAATATCTTAATTCTGGATGATCACAGTTCTTTGGGGTGGAGTGAACCAGCCTGTCTCACTTTCTGGCGAAAGAGTAGAGAACTGACATCAAAGCCCTATTTTTCTGGGTTTTCAGGACATTTAAGAAATATTTTATCCTATTTCATTTAAACTTTGCATACGACTTATAAATTTAAACAGAAATTGTAAATAATTGTATTTTTAGTAACCATGTGAATCTGTTCTTTTTTTTTATCAGGTCGTTGAAAGATAATCAATTTCTTGTGATAAATATTATCTCTGAAAGATTATGGTGCCACCATTATATTTGAATATGAATTTAAGCACTGAATTCAAAGTGAATGAAGAATTAACAAAGTAAACACAAGAAATGGTACAGAAAGGAATCGAAAAAAAGTAATATAAATCGGGATTGAATAATGTAATAGAAAATTTTTATGAAAATCAAAATTTGATAAAACATAGGATGTAAAATATGTTCACACAATATTTATCAATAAGTTGCAAAAAGATATGTGTACAATAGAGCAATACAATAAAGTCTATGAAATAGTAAGGTATTTGTGCTAGGCACAGTTTTGCTTTGAAAGCAATAAATGAATGATCATGAAACAAAGATAAAGTTCCTTTTTGTATAAACACTTATTAAAAGATCATCTGAAAAAGATATAAAATTACATAATAGTTTCGCCAAGTGAAACTCAAACAAGATAACGGGCATATTTGACCAAAATAGCTGTTCGAAAGTGAGCAGCAAAGTGTTTCTTTGCATTTTTTTTTTTTTTTTTTTTTTTTTACGCTATTTACATTGTTCGGACTGTTGTCCTAATCTTTTTTTTGCCATATTTGAAATTTCGAACCGAAATTTTAATCACCTGAGGAAGGCAGGAACGTACAACGGCCGAAACGCCGTGAATATGACAACAAATATGAGGACAGCCCGAACAATGTAAATAGCTACAATGCCTCATCTCGGAAATATAGACAAACTCTTTATAATTTTTTTTATATAAACATATACATTAGACATTTAAACTACATTTCAGTTATTTTATGAATTGCGCTAAAAGTTTTGTTTTAAATTTCGTGTTCATACGAGCTTGCCATAAAGCCTTTTTACGACTTTAATTTTATAGAAAAGATTTGTTAGGTTTTCATTAGCTGAGAAGGTGTCGTCTGTTGACTTGGTTGCGAAAATAGACAAACAAGAGAGTGGAACAAAATACATTTTTATTTTATCGGGAACGTTTTTGTAAAGATAAAGTTCATGGATAATTTCTGAAAGAAACTAAAAATTCAAGGAATGTTCTTAGGAGCCTTTGTAAAAACAGTCCTGGGTATAAAGATAAACTACATCCGGCAGCGAGATGGGAGGTTTAGGAGCATGGAACCACCTCTTAATTGCTGTTGTTCCCAGGTCCACTCTGACCCGGGGAGGTAGCGCAGGTTAGAACCCCGGTTAGGGGAAAATAGTGAAACCCCAAACAAAAACAAAACGCTATGAAAGTATAAAATACATTTTTATAGTAAAACTACAAGCGACACATTTTTATATAAAAATACCAACAATACTTGTTTATAGTAGAATTACCAACAATACATTTTATAGCAAAATGACCAACAATTGCGTTCAAAATATATTTAGTTGAAGTTATAAAATGGCGTTCAAAATATATAGATTTCGGGATTAAATAACTTATAGAGGTTGAAATGCCGCTAAACAAAATCAACCAAACAAATTTGCAAAAAAAAAAAAAAAAAATTAATTAATTAATTAAAAAAATGAAGAAATAATTTAAATTACTCTGTTGAGGAGTGAGATGTATTGTCTGTGTCATCTGTTAGACAGCGTACCAATTTTAATGTCCTATCTCGGCACAATGTGAAAAGAGGGCTAGCCTCTTGGTATTTGCTTCTTTTTTTCTTTTTCTTTTACACATGCCCACCAAAAGCTGAAAAGGTCTAGCTGCTGCTCACAGAGTTTTCAACGCATGCACATCTGACAAAAAGAGTGGCGTCTTATTACTTTTAGTCTTTGTATGAGTTTCGTTGCTCAGAAAGTATTTTGGTCGCTGCAATTTACTTTTATTGTTGCTTTTTATCCGGTTGTAACACACTACAATCGTTAATGCAAATGAATAATGAGAAGACTTCATTTAAGAAATTCAAACAATTTTGAAATTATTTCATTACTACTATAACCACAGATATTGAACAATATAGCATGAATAAATAAAATAATAACTACATAACTGTTCATATCAGATAAGCTTCGAGGATATTGAATGTGAGGAGGTTACTTTACTTCCTATTCAAGCTACATACTTTAACGTATATAGAATATAATTACCTAACAATTATGATGAAAAGCAACAATAAGCTGAATAATAAACTAGGCAAAGAATGAATAAAGTATGAAAGATACATATGTTTTCCAATCTGGGGAGGAGTATTGTGCTGTTTCTTATTTTATTTTCCACACACACATACACACAATAAAAATTAATTCACACCACGTGTATCAAAAAATACAATTGCGCGGGAATTCATTCCTTACCATGCCCTGTGGGGTCAAAAACAAGGACGGCGCACCCAAAAGTTCGGACGTAGTGAAAAGCACACCACGTGGTCAAAAATATGATTTATTGACCAATCAGGACTCGACATAAGAAACCCATTTCTTAATCTCCCCGGAGCCTCATCATTCTTATATAAGGAAGGTAGAAACTCTCATCAGAACGGAGAGAGAACAGCGACAAGCTGACATCAAAGCGACACGGACAGTTTCGAGCACACACACACCGAGAGGATTCAGCGGTTCACACAACAGGCAGTATCACGTATCAGTGAACATTCTTTCACCCTCTCTTTCTCTCATCTCGCTCGCTACACATAGTCCTACCTTTCCCTCTCACATTCCCAGTTCCTTTCTTTCTCCTTTTCTCCCGCAGCTTTACGGACAATTTCATTTTTGTACAAGGAAAAAAATAATTCTTTACAAAAATAAACAAAAGTTTATTTTACTTTATTTGTAGTGTATTTTCTTTTTATTATTTGTTTGGGGGACTTCTTTGCACCCTCTACAAAAGAAACAAATATTTTTGAACGATAATTTATAAAAGAATGTTTGGCATAAACTATGAAATACAGTTATTTAACAATTTTATTATGAATGTTGTTCTTTTACTGCAGGTGTACACGATTCCAGAATATATGGAAAAACGATATGGTGGCAAACGACTTCGTCTCTACCTTTCTGTTCTATCCATTCTGTTGTATATCATCACCAAGATATCGGTAAATACAGTAAACCTTTGAACTTCTCAGATCAGTTACTGATACTTATTTCCGGTAAATTTAATTAGTAAATGACTAACCGTCTTGCAAAATCTCTACTTGTTTGAACTAAAATTAAAATTCATACTTTCATTTCTATGTACCGCCAAAATGGATGGATGCTTTTTTCCGAAATAAAAGCCCCAAAATTCTACGTGCCCCCCCCCAAAAAAAAAACTCAAGGTATTATCCGATTGAAATGAAAATTTCAGTACTTGTTAATTAATGAATGACTTACATACTGAATAGGTAATTTTATTAGAAAACTTGATAGAAAAGTTTTTGGTGGCTCAGTTTCCCACATTTCAACACTTTGTGAATTCTTTTAAAATTGTGGGTGTGGAGTGATGTCAAATATTTTTTATAAGTTTTATAAAGAAAAATCACTGAAGATATTATTTTAGTAAAATTTTGCAATATCAAATCAGAAAATATCTGAAATTTATCCTGAAGTAAAAGGATTTATTGGGAGAAGAGTGAACGTCAAATCTCTTATCCCAAGTATTTTGAATGGCGCAGGCGAAAAAAAAAAGACTCTTATGCTGGTGTGAAATTTGCGGAGAAACAAACATTTATTACAATACCAAAAATATTTTTCACAATATACAAATCATATAAATTACAATATAGGACTTGTGCACCTCAAATTATCAAGACAGGCTAACTGTTCTTTCAAATACAAATCAGTTTTCTCTTAGAAAACTACAGTTCGTGTAATACAAATGTTTTCCTTAACAACAAAGATTTTATCTTTTATTTTAGAGCAACTGTTCATATAAATTTCTTAGCAACAAAAGAAATTTATTTAGAAAAGTTAGCAATTTAAAAGTTAAAGGTTGAAATTTGAAGCTGAGATGGTGATAAAATTTTGACCTACCTCGGCGAAGCTACTTTTCTGAATATTTGACGAATATTCAGATTTTTTGGAACAGGCGCCCTCAAGTTACCTTCCTGACTAATGATAATCCTGAAGCTGGCTGTTTTTTTAAATTTCAGGCAGCCCTCCTTCTATGCACTGGGTGAAATAGTTTACTCCTGTCTCGAAAGCAAGGTTTATCAGTCTGACAAAGTCAAAATGGCAGCCGATATCCAAAAAGACTTCAAGTCCGTAGTTAACTGGGGCAAAAGATGGCTTGTTAATTTTAACGCCTCCAAAACTTCTCTCGATTAATCATATGAGAGACCCCTTGCTGCCTTTCATCGGCATGGCTGATGCTATCCGCCAGAAAAATGACTCGTTGCGCCTTCTCTGGCTCACGTTCTCCCCTGATCTAAAGTGGAAAGACTATATTGAATCCATTGCTAGGTCAGTTCACTATATCGGGCGAGACAATTTTTCTCTCCAGAATCTATCTTACATATCTATAAGTCTGCCATTCGTCCATGCTTAGAATATTGATACTACATATGGTCAAGTGCCTCTGTTATTAACCTTGAGTTCCTTGATAAGGAATAATCTGCAATATTATTGGTTCTGATCTGGCGGCTCAGCTTCAGTCACTCTTCCACCGCTGTAAGGTTGCCTTTCTGTCTTTTTTATAAATACTTTCATGTTAATTGTTCTAATGAGCTCTTCGCTATAGTATGTAGTGTTTTTTGTTGTTTTTTTTATTTAAGCACAACACTAGACTGGCGTCGAGATCTCATCAATTTACAGTTGAGCTAGCTAGATGTAGCCGTAAATTCTATGCTAACAGTTTCTTTTCTCGCACTTCTCGCTTGTGGAACTCTCTTCGGGTTCCAAGCTTTTCAGCCAACTTTAATCTGCAAAAATGTAAATGCAATCACTTGATTGCTCTCTTTCTGCTCATCATTAATGTTTCTGTTCCTAATTCTTCCCCACCCTGTAACCCATTGTGTTTTAGTGTCATGGGTGCATGGGATGATTCCGATTAAAAAAAGTTTCAGCATCCTAGCTGAGTAGGAGTTAATTAAACCAAAGAAAGTATAAAATTTACTATTAAATCTAGAGAGGCACCAAACTTTTGGCCTATATATAAAAATGTTATTCCTTACCAAATCTAAGCTCTTGTGTCAAATACAAAAAACCTAGCTAGTAGGAATAGCAAGTCATAATAGCCTTCCTTTCTCATTACGTGTCCCAGAAATTACAACTACTTCTTCCTGATGTTAAGTATAAGTTTCCACTTTGCATCCTCACCAAAACCTCATCGTTGCTCAAATGTTCGGTTCATAGTATCCTTAGCCTCCTTCTGTAGAACCATATCCCCGTTGCCTCGAGTCTCTTCTCCATCTTTATGGAGACCAACATTCACTGCCGTATAGGAGGACAGATATCACGTAGCAGTATATTACTCTTTTCTTTGTTACCAACGAAATCCTCTTGTTTCGTAATACTCTACCTAGATTTTGGAATGCGTCTTTGACCATCCCAGTACGTCTTCGAATCTCAGCGTCACACTTAACGTCCTGTGTCAGAACACTTTCCAGACATTTAAATTTCCGCACCTGCTTAATTTTAGTGTCCCCGACCTGTAAATCGCATTTCGGACTCATCTTTTTACTGATGACCATGCATTCTGTGTTCTTGTGGTTTATGCATAGTCCCTTCTTCTCGCTCTCCTTCGCTACCTTCTGTTGGAGGTTTTGTAATTTCTTTTCCGTGTCTGATCTCAGCACTGTGTCATCTGCGTATCTTACGTTGTTAAAATTGTGACCGCCAATGATGAATCCCGGTAGGATTTCTAATTCTCTCAGAATTGCCCCGCTGTATAGGTTGAATAAGTCCGGTGAGAAGACAGATCCTTGCTTTATGTCCCTTCTATTTTTGTATTTCTGCTGAACTCATTTTTTTTTATCTTTATGCAGGCGGTTTGCTGCCAGTATAGGTTTTTGATTATTCTAATATCCTTCCCAAATATGTCAAGTTTGCTGAGCAGCTCTAACAGATCTTTGAGGCGTACTTTGTCGAACGCCTTTACGTGTTCTATAAAACACATGTGCATGTTCTTCTGAATTTGTATTGCTCTTTCTGTTAACATTCTGAGCATGAATATCGCGTACCTTGTTCCGATGTCTTTAACGAACCCGCACTGTTCTTGTCCTATCTCTGGCCTAATTCAACTGTGTGCGCTCTTCATCAGAATACGGATAATGAGTTGTTATGTGACTCCTTAGGCTGATTGTTCGGTGGAGTTCACGTTCGTTTGTGCCTGCTTTCTTAGGGAGTGCTATGAAAATAGATCTGCTGAGATCTTCTGGTATATCCCCACTGTTGTAGATTTTATTTATTATTTCCGTGATCTTGTCTATGCCAAAATCATCTAAGGCTGTCAGCATCTCTGTTACAATTCCGTCCGGCTCTGTCGCTTTGTTTCTGTTCAGTTTGGTTAGTGCAGCTTGTACTTCGGTTTTTAGAATTTCAGGCCCGTCGGTAATTCTGTCTATTGGCGGTTGTTCTCTTTCGTCGTGGAAGAGTTCTATAATATATTCATTCCAGCGCTGAAGAATTTTTCCTTCTCTAATATGAACGTTTCATCCTTGGATTTTAAGCAGCCTGTTTACGAGCATGCATTCTCCCCTGTTAGTTTCCTTATTTCTTCATGCATATATCCTTTATGGTACTCAATCTCTCTATTTCTGCACATTTTTGGTTAAGCAACTCTTCTTTAGCATTTTGTCCTTAATTCGTTGTGTGTAGTTTTCTGTATTCTGTTGCCTATCTTGGCAGAGTTTTCTGTCTCCTTTGTATCATATCGAGAATCACACCAGTGATCCATTTGTTTTTTTTTCTTCGTCCATCCTCCTTTGGGATGATATCGTTTTCTGATGTCACTAAAGCTTCTCTTAGTGTGTCTCATTTCGAGTTTGCATTTCCATTTTGTCCCTCGTATCTTTGTTCACACTGTCTATATATTTTTCTTCAGGTTCAAGTCGCTCAGGAGTTTGTTGTATTGCAATTTGGATGCTACATTAGGATTCTTCAGTTTCCATAGTTTCACTATTAGTCTACATATAACAGGGCAATGGTCGCTTCCGGAGTCGGCACTTGTGTAGATTTTGCGATGAACCATTGAATTCTCGAATCTTTTGTTGATAGTTATGGAGTTAATTTGGTTCTTAGTTTCTCCTCCTGGGCTTCTCCATGTCCATAATCATCTCGGATGTTCATGGAATCATGTGGTTGCTGTTACCTGCCATTGAATCCATTTTTCTCCACGTCCGAATTTGCCAGCTATCTCCCCTGCCTTCGCTCTGCCTACTTTGGCGTTTAGATCTCCCATGATAATTATGACTTGTGATTTGCAATGAGCCTTGGCGTTGTTTAGCATGGAGTAGAGAGATTCGATTTCTTCTTCCTTACTTTGTGCTGTCGGTGCATACACTATTATGATAGCTATGTTGAAAGGCTTTCCTTTTAGATTGACTAACAGAATTAGTTATTATTCCCAGAACGCATTTCTTGAATTCTTTATCTAGTGTCAATCTTACTGCATATATAATCCTGTGATTGTCACTAAGAAAATCTGTTGTTTGCCACATAGTTTCACATACACCTAAGATGTTGATTTTTAGTCTACTCTTTTACATTTTATAACTGGTTAAAATTGTTCACGTCCTAACGTTCCATGTCCCGGGAGTTAATTTTTGTTTGATGCGAGCAGTCGCTGGATAACTGTCCGGTGACAGCTGTCGTTCATGTCGCTCCTTTCCGAGCGAGGGATAGCCTTGGACAAGGCATGAATCCATTTCATATGAGTTGAATAGTAGGACTTGTATCTTGAAAAATTGTTATTATTCCCAGAAAATTGTTATTCATTTGTCAAAAAAAAAAAAAAAGAAAAGAAAAAAAAAGAAAGAAAGAAAAAAAGAAAATCCCAAATCTGTTTCAGCTTTAAATAACCGAAAACGGTTGATAAGCTGCAAAAACACATTAAACGATTACCCGTTTTAGATTAATATCTGGCGATATATGATGTTTGGAGAAGGGGCATTTTATCGATGATTTCCTCTGACCTGGCTCTCACAGTTCACTGGGAATGGAACTGGCTTGTAACATTCAATACTTCCAAAACCAAGCTAATAACATCACAGTAAAGACTGAGTTTTCTCCAGTCGTGATGACCGGTTGTACTCTCAATGAAGTTCCTTGCTCGGAATATCGAGTAAGGCTAAATCTCATTCATGTGGAAATTGTGTATACAACTCATCGCTAAAGATGCTGGAAAAATGCTCAGTTCCTTCTATCGCTCCACTTTCTACCATACTCTATCCTTACAAAAGCCAGATCAGACCAAAAATGGAGTATTACTACCACATCCGGGCTGGATCTACTCAATCTTCACTCTCCAGCCTCAATAGAGTTCAAAAGCGTTTACGCGACTTTGTGGGTGATGAGTTGCTTTCCACCATACAACCTTACTCCCACCGGCGAGATGTTACTAACCTCTCACTATTCTCTATTTTCATGGCAGATGTTTGGATGAACTACATTCCACCAATCCAGACCTTCATAGCTAGGACCTGCCATGCCATGCACATTGAGTCGACCCATCCTCATTCCCTTCATATTCCATTGGTGAGGATCGTCCTGGCTATGACAATAAACTGCATCCAACAGCAAGGCCTCTGAACAGGAGGTTTTGTGGTTCATGGAACAACATCTTAATTGCTGGTGTACCCAGGTTCACCCTGACCCAACTATGGGTAAAAATAGTTAACCTCCGAACTGGGGTCTAAGCACTATGATATTATAAATATAGGTTATATTTTTGTTAAAGATTATTATCAGCAATAAACTTTTTAAGAAAAAAATATTATCAGCAATACATTTTTGAAGAAAAAACAATTTGTAGCAATACATTTTTAAAGGAAAAAAATATTACCAGCAGTAAAAAATCTTGTCGGCATTAAATAACCCATTGAGGTTGATATGCCTCAAAACAAAACAAACCAAACCATTGGTGAGGAGGAAGTTCCACTTAGAAAGCTTCTTTCTCAGAACAGTTGAGGTGTAGAACGGACTTCCGATACTTTGCTTTCCTGATCACTACAACCTTAACTTCAAGTGTAGGGTCATCCGTTATCTATCATATATATCCTCATAACATACACGTCTTTTTCTCTCCATGTACGCCCTTTCAACAACCTTATTTAGTAACCCTGTATATGGAGTGGTTCTTGGATTATGTATTGGGTGAGCAACAGTTAAATATGAAAGCGAATGTTTACTACGCTTAACTTAATCTGACACATGTCTACAAATACAAAGTATCTCTTGAGCATTGAATTCTTTTCCACGGCGTGACTAGCTTGACTATTTTCTAGTCTAGTGCGTTCACTCTTGATATTTCTCTACTTTTCAGGTGGAGATGTTCGCCGGTGCCTTGTTCATCAAAATGTTGTTTGGATGGAATATGTACGCTTCATGTATTCTCATCTTGGCATTTTCAGCTTTCTTTACGATGGTTGGTGAGTGTCTAGTTTCTCTTTTGTTTAATTACATAAGAATTAGAAAATTCCTATTCACTCGCCTTACAATTGCCTAACAGGGTTTACGTCATATCTATGTATGTTTCAAGATAATTTTAAAAGCAGTAAAAGGCATGACGTAAACTAAATAGCAATGACTCGGAGAATAGCACGTTGTCACTTTGAGAATGGATTCTTGCAAATGCTTATGTTCTTAGAGCAGGTATTTACTGTGTTTATTTTAGCATGAGGGATGACGTTCTTTACTTCAGGCTAAGTTATAATGTAACTCACAGAGGTCTGTACGAACATACTTACGCACGAACATCTAAATACAAACACAAAATCACATGTACAATGCCAAACGATCATAGGCTAATAAATCACTAATACATTTTCTACAGGCAATTTACAAATCGCAGTAATGCGACAATTTTGGAATCGCTTTATTTTCTAAGTAGTCAGATTTGTGTACTTTTGGGAGAAGTGGCTCACAGAAGCTTCCTTAAGTCTCCCCAAAGCTCGTTCGCTGATTGATTGATGCCAACCAGTCAGCGAGCGATTGGACGTGAAGAATAATTTTTCCCGTGCAACGAATCGGAGCCTATAGTCGCTTATTTAAGCCAAGATTTTTCTCATCTCAATTAGTGAGACCTCAACTGCTAAACGAATCTACGACAGTTAGAACTCCTGTTCTAACCATGCGCCACCTTCTCACTCACATGCTGATGATAATTTGTACACCTTCACTAAAAACTTCATTTGACACAACAATACTTTCCAACAGTAATATCATACGAACAATCATATCATGAAACACTCATGAACATTTATCCAGTGAACTTTAAACCAAATAATTATCTCTCACTGAACTCTTAAATTGCAGCAAAGAAAGACAATTCTTGATTAATTCAACCTTTCTTACTTAAATGCATGTTTTCTTTCACATCGTTGTTTGATATTGTACATCTTGTTAATATACATATGTTTTATGTGCAACAATGTCTTGTGGTTATTCTTCTTGCGTGAGTCCTGTTTTCTTATCAAAGTTAAATTAATGTGGTGAAGTTCCCCACAGGTCTATCTCAAATCTCGTCATTGGAGCGAAGATGTTTACTTTTCGCTTGGGTTTGTGATAGTTTGCTGCTGTAGTCGGCTTAAGAAATTCAAAAGAAAAAAAATAGAATAAGAACATAATTAATTTGGCTCGAAAAATCTTTATCTTGGTATATTTTTTCTTTACTAAGGTTGCAATTACTATATAATTTGGCGGGGCTTCGGTCCATCACTTCCCACCCTGTTAATAAGAGTATACGAAATGTTATATGTATTTTAAATGTTTGAATTAATTATCAATACAAGGTTTCAATCTAGTGCATACCAGAAATCGGAACCAAAACAGTATCATTTTATATTTATATTAACAATGACAAATCGGGTACGAACTTTTGCAATGATCTGATAGTATGTGTTTCACTCCAGATCATACCAGAATGTATTTTCTACTCTGTATGAGGTCATAGATACCAGATGCATCGACAGGTTGGCCAAGCCCATCATTTTTATGGACGATATGATAAAAGGATGTTTATTGTTTTTTGGCGAGAGAGAGGGAGAGGAGGGAACGTCAAATCCCTTAGCTCGAGCATTACGAATGGCGCAAAAAAAAAAAAAAAAAAAAAAAAACAAGTCTGTAGTGGACCGTGGCGGTGAAGATGTAAAGAACACACGTGGGTTAAAATTTTCTGCTAGCCGGCCTAGCTACATGAGAATGTTGGACTTTAATTAAGTCCAAAGAAAACAAACAAGACCGATAATTATACACAAACAACTATTAAGTTATTAACAACAAGTTACAAGCACATGGGCAGTTATATTGAGTTTGTGTGGTGTGTGTGTATTGTGGTGAGTGTTCGTACGTATGTGTAATGTTCTTAGCGTGTTCCCAGAATTTGGGAAACGCTGTATTGGTGAGAGCTCACATATGCGAGGTGGTATAAGGCCCCAGGCCTGAGGGAAAAAAGAGATCGATGCAAAGGGTCACCCAGTAATTATAACCAAGGTAGAGAGACCCCTGATGAAGGATTAAGGAACTGAGGAGGAGCTAACTCCGACAAGTCTCTTACTCCAGTATGAAATTTTAATTTATTAAATGACATAAAACAATCACACATAATACAAAATTTACAAAACAAGCTTGCACAAAAATTTCCTTTGTGCACTAACATTTAGAAAAGATAACTTCTAATTTCAATTCTGTTAGGCTCAGAAAAACAATTATCAACAAAAGGTTCACTTACATTGATTCATATGACTATCGACAGGAGCTGAGTATGATAGCAATTCATAATCGTCGCTAGAGTTCTGGTTTGCTTAAGCAATAGGTCAGTTTTACAGAGATTAGATAAATTTCATATTTTTATAAAAAGTTCAAAATCAAAGTTAATACCTCATAATTTTGTGACAAACTCTCAAAAAATAAGTATAGACAAATAATTGTATCTCTCTCTAAATTTGTAGAATTTTATATATGCATCTTTCATAAATCACCAGGCTTCATTTTGGCGGTTATTTTTCTTTTATTTATTTTTACAACATGAATGTGAGCCTCACATAAACAAATACAAATTTTTGCATATCAAATTTTATTCAAGTCATTTTTATAAATCGTTCAGCTTCCTTTTAGCAGAATTTTTATTTAAAGAATGCATGTTATTAATGTTTTTTAAAACACTCCTCTCAAAAGAGTATAATAAACAAATCTAGTTTATTGTATATATTATTTTTTAACCTTTTATTATATAATTTTACATTTCCTTTTTTTTTCATAATGCTAGTATTTTAATATTAAATATAAAGAGGTTTTATATGGTATCAAATAAAGTAGTCTGGTAAATAGACAGTAATAAAGCATTTGTTGAGAATAAAACTAGCTCCACTATGACATTAGCTTGCTCTACGGCAGACATCATAGACCATTTTTTGTGTATAGACAAACCTCTATAATATTGGACCACTTTCTGTTTAAAAATGATATTTCAAAAATGTCCCTTACAATTTCCGGTCTTTATAGCACTTAATAAAGTTTGTCTTTTTGTTATCTCTCCTAATCCCTGTTCTGCCAACCATAAGCTCGTTAGGTAGGTTATGCACTGCCTTCTTCTGCTCCACTTGCCTTCAATATATCCTGTGAATGTAATTATTTTTAAAACCTTCTTTCCTCGCTGTCCACCCAAGAAATTTCAGTTGTCTCTTTCTGATTCTAAGTGGAAGTGTACTTTTTTCACTCAATCCAAATCAGAAAACTAAATCTAGTATTTGAGGCATTTCGACGTGGTATAATGGTTAGCAAGCTAGTCTCGATACATCTAGTCCGATCCTCATTGGGTGCTCCATAACTGCAACCTTGTGCCATATCTAAGCTACGCTTAGTAAGTGAATTACTAAATCTAGTAACCGTAAGCAAGATATAAGATTGTGCATGTCGCTCTTCCAGCAGATCACAGCTGAGTTTAAAGCTTAAAAAGCTGTAAAATATCTGTTTTGTCACGAATAAACAGTTAAAAAAAGAAAGATTGTACCTGTCATCAATGGCATACTTGGGACCGTCTGTAAAGACAGTTGGGAAGAATTGAAAATCCGTGAAAGAATTGAAACTATACACATAACATTAATAATCAAGACACAGCTTTTTACACTCAGCCGAACCACTGAATAACATAGCTCTTAGTCAGCAACTGTCCCACTGGTGCATCCACTTTAACAACGTGAAACACAGGCCCTCTCTCAAGCCTACAGAGTACCCCCCCCCACTGGTTTCAGTGATATCTAACCCTTCTAGTCCTGCCTAAATCACCTCCAAACAACTGTTAGTCGCTATAGTGCCAAACTTTCACAAATGGGGATATGCCACAGATGATGATGATACAAAATGTCAATGCGGGCAATCATTATGGAACATGCACATTTAACGACTTTGAAACCTTAACACACCAGGCAAGGGTCTGTGCAACACTGGATGGGTGTGGTGTAGCGACTCGATAAGAAGACATTAATAATATCAGAAGGAATACTGGGAAGAGTACTGAGGATATTTACTCGCTCTTGATTTCCATTGAAAGCCACTTGTTATTAATAACGTGAAAACTAAATGAGTATATGTATGCTAAGTTATAGCTTTATATAGACACCATATATTTTTGTTGTGGATTCCGGGATGAAATCCGGTACCAATAAATAACAAACGCCAAGAAGGAATATAGGAAAATAAATGTATTAATTTAATAATACAAACTGGTAATGCAGGTTAGTAGTTCCAGGAATGCGGGTTAGTAGCAATATATATATATATATATATATATATATATGCAGTCTTTGGTATCGACGTATCACTGTATGACTTCTTACTGAGTCTACGTGCTTGCTCACTGTGACTCTTGCTCGTTACGTTCGTGCTCGTTCATCGCTCTCGTTCTTTCTCGTTCGTCGCTCTCGTTCTTTCTCGTTCGCTCCTTCCGGGTATTCACTAGCAGCAGTATATGTATACCCTGGGTGAGTCCATTTGTGTAAAGAGGGAAGAACCTCTCAACAATTTTAGATGGCATTTTTCAAAATTTAATGATCAGAAGCAGAATAATTACAATCTTAACAGAAAGTTGACTAAAAGTGGCTTTACCTTGCCACGCAATTTATTTTCTCATTCTGAACTTCCGCTACAGCACATTACGACATTTCATTCTCATCAATTTATCGCGAAGATAAATTAGTAATATTCTTTATTTATTTTAATTAGATCAGAGTCGTCAGACTTTTTCGACCAGAAATCCCCTTTTAGTTTTCGTCCTTCTCCAGTAACCGCCACCGTTTAAAATATCTTTGAACTTTAAAAATTGCACTGTACTAACCAATTAAATTAAATAAACAAATATTGCATCATACTTTATGAAAACATAACAATTAGGCCAAATGACCTTCATAATCATAAACTCTATTTTACAGATAAAGGTTGAAAAAAAAGGAGATTGTTATCTGAAAGTGAACTTGGCACAATTAAAAAAAGAGCAAGCAATGCTCAATATAGAATGAAATAAGTCTCATCAAAATAAATTAAAAGCTACTTAGATACAACTAAGGCTTTTGATTCTGTTGAGTGTTGAGCTCAGTGCCTTTTTTTTTCATCTGCATTGGAAAATACAACATACATGTACAGTAACTAAAATTTAGCTCAGTGTGGTTTGCACATCGACCCCCATTCGACCTCTTGACTATCATCGAGCCCGGGAACTCCTCGCCGACTCCTAGGAGGTCGCTTGACGACCCCTGGATTAGATAAATTAGTAAAGTAAGTTTTTTTTTAATTAGTTTTTTGTTTCTAGATCCACAAGGGGATGTATGGTGTAATGGATAACTTCTCCGAAGGAGGAATCTGAGAGCCAAGTTCGAATTCCAGTCGGTATCGTTACCTTCACTTAGGTGCAACTACCCTTGGGAAAAATGAATGAATCCATTTCTACCCCCTACAGCTATGAGTTGAATAGAGGGACAGACTGGGTCTTATAACCTTGGCTGACAACTAGTCTGCCATAGAAAGGAACTACAGCTAACTGTGGAAAATCTTTTGCTTTTGAAATGTCGCCCAAGCGTGTATCACGTATGGCACTTGACCGACATCCAACAAACGTCCTATAGATTGCTTAATGTAAATTTATTTACAAAGCGTGACTCGGTTTTGACACAAAGACAGAATTTTTGGGCATTTAGTGTTATACTCTGTTTCAAATTAGATCTCTTTCTGAGTCACTCTAAATGTCGGTCTATATCGGGCCAAGAAAGCAAAACTAAAAGTAAAAAAGTCGTCCTCTGTGAAGGTACTCCAAGCATCACATCCGGTTCACAAAACAAATTCCCTCAAAAATATAATATGCAACAAGCTATTCGCGAATGTTGCCGCCAAAGAAAAACCTGAAAAAAAAAAAAAAAAAAAGATGCGTTTATGAGCAACCACATTTGCTCATAAACTGCTGGGACAGATTTGCAGCGAATGGGCAAGCTTCAACTAATAGGCCACCGGCTTCTCTGAACGTCACTATGCGCCTTACCAACTCTACATTTCATTTAAGTTGCTTGCTTTGCCCCTAAAGAGACATTCCACTCACATCCTCTGTATCAGTAATAGAAAGAATTTTATATTAACAGTTGTCTTTTCCTTTCGCCTTACAGCCGGTACTTGTTTCGTCTGTTCTCTCGTGCTACCATACGTGCGTTTATAACACTAGTGAAGTTTGAACTCCTGAATCCGTAGCATTGATCAACAAGACCAGGTTGCTAATATTAGTGTGTATATCGAAATAAGGATATTTTTTTTTTTTCAGGTGGACTGACAGTTGTTCTGATCACCGATGCTCTCCAGACAGTCGTGTTTATTGCCGGGGCTTTTGTTTTAATGGCCATAAGTATGCAGATAAATATTTTACTTTAACCCTTTGACTACACACACAAACTTAAATTTAAACCCACTGGAACACTTTTCATTGCAAAAAGAAAATATTTTAAAATTATTTTTAACTAAACCTTTGTTTTACTTGACAATTTTTTGTATTACAAGCAGTCTTTAGCCTTCGTGTCCACAAAAAAATAAATCAGTGTGTCAAAAAGATGGCTTATCCTTTGACACTGCTATTATTTTTACGTTTTGTTTGTTCTTGAGAATTGACAACAAAATAATAAACACTATTTATTTATAAGATTCTTTATTTACACTATTTATTTATTGTATTGTTTAATGGTTGGCAAATATCGGCAAATTGCTAATCGATTCGAACTTTATAAAATGGTAAATAAGGATTTCCTTATAGCCGGTTTATATATTTTAATAATTTAGTAAATGTTTATAAATTTATGAATAAAAAATGTTCATATCTATTGCTTTAGAAATTGGTAAATGATAAATATGGCTTTAGTTTTAAGGCAAATGTATTAGTTTTTAGCCTGTTGTAAATATAAAATTATTCTTGTAAATAAACAATCTAATAGTGTTTAATATTTTTTTGTTGTAAATTATCTAGAACAAAAAATGTCTAATCTCACTTTCATATGTTTAGGTTTTATTAAAATTCTATTCATCGTTTTTTAAAAAAATCATTGCCAAGGAGTGAAGGTAATTAAAATAATAGCGGCGTCAAGGGAAGAACCATCCTTTTGACACACCTGCTTTTTTTTCTTTTCGGGCACGAATGTTAGATTGTCAAATTGCACATGGACACGAGTGAATATGAAGTCTCTGACAAATTTTCATTTGAAAATCTATCCTAGTCATTATTAAAGCTCTATGAAAAAGATGGCTACAGATGATGCGTCTTTTTCAGGTTCAGGTGTCTAAAGGTGTTAAGAAATTTGCGGGGATATATATATATATATATATATATATATATATATATAATATAAAAAATAATGGTCAGAGTTGGATTAGACCAGGAAACACTAGTATTAAAAGGTGCTCAATACACGTATTAAAAAAAATTAACATGTAGAGCTTTTAGGTATAAAAATTAGGAGATCAGATCGTATGAACCAGGATGAAAAGAAATTATGTACATTTCATTTACTCACCCCCCTCCTCACTGATACATTTCCAATACCCTTGCTTTTCTCTTCCTCCTTCTATTATATCACAATTCGCGTCGTGCGCTTATTTTTAAATAATAAAGTGTTAGGAAATCAATTGACCGAAATCGCCTGAACATACTGAAAGGTTGAAAACAAGATAGCGGAATCGGCTGATCTAATTTTTATACTTAGCTATCTCTCTCTCTCTCTCTCTCTCTCTCTCTCTCTCTCTCTGTATATATATATATATATAATTAACGGATTTATTTTTAATCTGACATTTTTACTACTTCAAATGATATTTTTAGCGTATACTCGTATTTGAAATAGACGTTCCATTTTTATTTATATTATTTTTAAACACTGTGTATTACATCTATTGGTCTGCGCATTAAAGAAAATGTGCTCTCTGTGAGGGATCGAACCTTGTTTTTGCCTTTGTAGTGGAAACCACCGATTGATTCGGTGTACCTTACTACTTGGCTACATTCTTTACTTAATCGCAAGGCGCTATTCTCTCTGTTAAGACCTTGCCGTACTGTGACTTTCTCTGTACGGTGTTAACTACATTCTATTGCGTTTTGTCGTCGTTAACCAACAGTTACAGTATCTGGTGAGACTACTCACATTTCCAGTTCTTTCAGTCGGACAATTCAGTTCATATTTGCGGAATACCACGAGGTTATTGATCCAGCATGTGAGTAGAATGCTGAGCAAACTGGTGATGGCTTTGTAACGATTTGGAATATGTTCTGTTGTATTGCACATGTACTATGAGTGAAAATTGGCAGATGAGACATACACAGATCTTGTTGTATAGCATTTGCACGCCTTTATACCAGGCGTGTTTTCCAGTGGTGATAGTTTGTTCCATTGTACACAGGTAACACAAAACTTGTTCCGGGAATACTTGATTGAATTTCAGGTATCCCAATGGCCTACCTCACTCGGCAGATTAAAAGCCTATTTAGCATATAATGGGACATGATACAGACATAAATATAATAATCAGTAAATTTGCAGTAGCCACATCAAATACAACACAACTCACTTATGAACATACCTAGATAACCGCATAATCACTCTATCACTTCATAGACTTTGCCTCGTAGCTACTATGTGTTCAGGCGAAAGGAGGAATTACACATTATTTTGGCACTACAGTTTATGCACAGTATTTGTTCAAAAGAATGGACCTCGCGTCGTGTGTGTGTATATATATATATATATAACGTCATCCACAGACAGACTGTTTCGCAGCTCATCAGTGTGGCTAGACATCCGATTGCCTCTAGCTAGGATCGAAACCCGACTGAATCGGTACCATTAGGCCGTCGGCGCACGGTAGTGACGAAAGTGGATTTTTAGCGTATTTATTTTTAGAAACAGTGATCCAATTCATCAGACCTACAGATATATATATAAGCTAAGCTATATATATAAGCTAAGGCTTCTGATATTTTGTAAGCGTTTTTACATTTTTATTTAGTATAGTGTCAAAAATCCAAAATTCAAACTAAATAAAATTAAAAGCTTATTATTTAGGTATTCAACATTTTTACAAGTACATAAAAATTCGCTGATACACAGGACTTATCCTAAATGTAGCATAGATTACGAAGGAAAGTTTTCTCGAGTTTACTCCGGGCTCCTAGAAGAGATTTGTAGATTCTAAACTGGATCCTAAGTTCAACTTTCAGTGTGATTTTTGTGGTGTCAAGTGTTGGAGAATGTTTTTAACTTTTATATGACATAAAATATAACAATTAAAACTTCACTTCGATTCATCGAAATATCTACGAATAAATTAAATTCAGAAAAAATTAACTGTTTGACTAATTTTGTTTATTTTTTTTTAAAGGTCTGTACAAGGTCGGGGGCTACGAAGCCCTGAAAACCAAATATATGGATGCTGTGCCGAGCACTGTCTTGCTTTCTAATAAAACTGATGATTGTGGTTACCCTAGATCCGATTCTTTCAGTTTACTCAGAGATCCTGTCAATTCTGATTATCCATGGCCAGGGACGCTCATCTTCAATATTCCAAGTGATATTTGGTTTTGGTGCACGGATCAGGTAATTTACAAGACTTAAATGTGATTTTTTTAAAAAAGATATTAAAAATACTTGTACAAAGCCTGATTTAATACAAAGCTATAATGACTGGGCACTCAATCAGGAAACAATTCTCGTATCATTGGCGATGTATGTGGGTATGATAAAGAGATATGTGAAAAAAGACGTTTTAACAATAACTGACTTTGGTACAGTAAATATTAATTTATTCCTGTTGCAAATATAACTCATTTAAAAGCAAATTATTGAATGAAATGTATCATAAAATTTAAATTTATTAAGAATCACGAAAATAGTAATTTTTTTCTATTGAAGGACGTTTAAAATACATTATTTCATTAAAGATACTTTTCATCAGATGCATAAAGTGTATGGAACATGGAGATATGTAAAGTGTCTGAAAATAACATGATTAAGTTGTTACGGATGGTGGGAAAGAAATAGAAATTTGACTTCTGTAAAAATTTGAGAGATTTGATCGAAATGCATTACTCCTTTCCGCCATGCAACATAAATAACGCAAGAAAAGACGAAGGTTAACAATATTTATTTACAGAAACAAAATGCAACAACGAACTTAATTTATTCACAGTGGATGTGAATTCAGTGTTATATATATATATATATATATATATATATATATATATATATATATATATATATATAGAGAGAGAGAGAGAGAGAGAGAGAGTTCTTGTTTTACTTAACCATGATGATTTGATTTTAGTGGGTCGAAGTTTTTAGGGTTCATACTGATGGTGTTAGGAATCATGCTCAGATTTAATCTTTTGTCATTTCGAGCGTGATTTAGTTTATGAGTTGTATGAAGTTGTTTCTTGACTTCATATTCCATGTCGTATTTCTATGGTGCGGTAATTCGTATTCAATTGTCTGCGAGATGATCTCACAGTCTAATCGTAAAGATGGCAATAGCATCATGCGTTTGTGTGTATGTGTCGCTATCTATGTGCGTATGTATGTATGTGCGTGCCTAGCTGCCTGCCTCTTCCTTAAATAACCAAGGGTAAACTCCCAGACAGGATTTTGGATTTAAGCGGGAAGATATTTCATTGGTCGGTAAGGACAAATGGGGATGTTTAAAGATATTAGTGTCTGTTGCGTAGGCGTTTGTGTGCATAGGTGTATAGCAATAAGATTATGCCAATTGTGTGAATAAATTAGGATTTTACAAAAACAAAGCCAGCGAGAGCGGGAAGCATTTGCTTATAAAAATTATTGTTACAGTGGAAATAAAATATGAATATTTACTTGCTTCTCACTAGTCGATGTTCGAGCCTAAGCAAAAGTTTGGATTTCGAATATTGTTATACAAGACTCAATACAAAGAAACACGAAACATTCTGAAAGCCGTTGTAATACAAGGGAAGCAGTCAACATTAAATGGGGTATCTTTCGCCATATGAGATCGTATATTGAAGTGTGTAAAAAGAAAAAAATTCACGTAAAAATTCAATGTGATCGAATTTTAATTTTATCTGAGAAATATAATTTCCCAAACCACAAAATTTTATAACGTTATTGCATCTCTACATCCGGAAATTGTGGCGAAAATACCTAGCAACATTTTGGATACTCGCGACTACAATGAATTGAAAAAAAAAAGACTAATAAAAACACATGAACAAACGAAGTCAGAACTGCTAAACAAATTAATGCCCACCTCCGTTATTATAGGTCAGCCATCAATTTACCTTCAGGAAACGTTGTCAATTGCAACAAGATTAGAGATAAGCAAAGAAACAGTGTTACACTAATTATTACAGGTGTTACCAGTTTCAATAGCCCTTGTGTTAGCAACGCAAAAAGATTTAAACCAGACCAGGTTGGGACAACTGGTGGATGAATTAATAATGCTTTTAATACAAGGCATTGTTAAAATAAGCACGTAACAACATTAAGACAAAAGAAATGCCTACTAAAATCTCAGCAATATCACAAGGTCTCGTACCTTTTCAAAAGGGATAATTACAGAAAATATGTAAAGCACACATATACTACGCGGCGTGTTCGTGTAAACCCTGGTACAAATGGCCGAAAAAAAAAAAAAAAGACTTGATAAACAGCCAAGTTCGCGTCCATCTTTTTCAGCGCCAAATGAAGCGGGAAACTAATTGGGCGGACAACGAAACACCTCCATCCCGAGTCAGTCATTATTACAGACACCAGCAATGTTGGCGACAAACAAATTCTCGTTCATAATAGATACCCGCAACAGCTTATCTATCATTACACATAGCCACGTTAAGAGTTTATCAACGGATCCAACAACAGTCTCTCTGATATACGCTGCTACGGGCAAATTAAAGCCGAGATAAGCCTACCGACCCTTCGACGATCTTTTCTGTGGACGTTCGTAGTATTTTGGTGTATTAAAAGATTGCCAACAGAAAACGATCATCGATCCCACAACATCGCGTTCAAAGAAACTGAAAACATCCAACGTAGTCGTAAATAACAATATGCCTGATTTAATTAAAGGCTTATAAAAATATATCCAACATTATATCTTCACATACCAGCCCAGCAAGCATATGTGCAGGAGTATACCATAGAATTGATACAGACAGTCATGCTCCTACTTTTGCCAAGTCTATCAGAAGAGAAAACCCAGGCAGTAAAGAAGGAATTTTCAAAATTGCAAAATAATGGTCCCATTACAACATCTGGCAGTGAATGGGCCAGCCCCCTATACGTTGTTAAAAAGCCAAATGGCAATTTCAGATGCTGCAGTGATTACTGCTTAAACAGCATTATAAAAAATGACAAATACCCTATCCCGAACATTAATTCAATTGCTGATAAACTAGCCAGCAAAACAAGGTTTAGTAAATCGACGTGGTATCAGCATACCATCAAATCAAAATGCATCCGGAGGATATTAAAAAAAAACAGCACTTATTTCTCCTCTCGAATTGCATGAATATAAAAACACGCCGTTTGGACTAATGAATGCAGCATCCACTTTTCAACGATACATGGACAAGACTTTTCAACATGTTGACTGTGTATTTACATATATTGGCGACATTTTTATTTTCAGCCATGATTCTTCAGCACACGTAAAAGACGTTGAAACTGTTCTAAAAGTCCTACATGATAATAATCTAAAAATTCAGTCGATTTATTGGGTTATAATATTAAATTTGACGGTATTATACCTAAACGTCGTTTCTTAAGCATGGTAAATTTTTATAGAAAATTAACCCCATACTTTGCAGACATAGTTATGTCATTAACCAAAAAAAAAAAAAAAATTACATGTATGCAGTAATACTACATTTACATTGAATGACTTAGAATTGCAATCACTTAACGATGTCAAAACAGAATTAATGAATTTCCGTCCTTAGCTCACCAACGGTCTGATTGTACTGAATATCAGTTGATTACTGATAGCAGTAATTATGCAATTGGTACAGCCCTTTTCATCAGATAGTATAAGGAGAACCAATTCCAATAGGCTTCTTCTCTAAATATTAGCTCAAACTCAAACGAGGTATTCAACTTTTGATAAAGAACTTTTTGCAGCATATTCAACTACGTCATATTTTAATCACATTATCGAAGGAAAAGTTTTACTATTAACTAACCATAAGCCTTTGTGCGGCACATTACGTAGTCTAAACTCTGCTAAGTCAGATAGACAACAGCGGCAATTATCAATTCTCACAGAATATACATCACATATAGGCCACATAAAGAGAGATCAAAATGTTATAGCTGATTGCTTGTCTAGACCTACCCTAGCAGTTATGGTAGATATGTGTGATTTGCTAGCTGAACAACTTAAGGGCCCTGAGTTTCAAAAATTTCTAAACTTGAAAAATTTAAATTATAGTACTGGTAATAATTGTTTCATATATTGTGATAATGCTACCGGTGTTCGCAGACCATATATACCTGGTGAATTACGAAGATTTTCGATTTTCGATAGTATTCACGCAATACCACAGCCAGGCATTAAAACTTAATGTAAACTTATCAAAACCAAATTTTTTTGGTCTTATATGAACAAAGCAATAAAAGACGTGTATTTCCAAATAACAATTCCAAATATATACATTGTCGAAAAAAGTCGATATAAGGGATGACCTTACTTGGAGGTACCGACGAACCAAGGTTACGAAGGAAAACGAGGCGATCGCGACCTACTCCCAACTTGGGGATGGTAACAATAATTAAATAGCTGGCCACAAACAACAATTAACAACCGATATCCGCGGCCGAGCCAGCAAAAATGAGTAGGGGGCATTTTATAACATTGTAACTACCTTTATCTCCTCCCATCCTTCCGGTAGGGCATATAAAGGAAGAGGTGAACGTGGCACTCGCGCCTAAAGACACAAGTCGAGAGGCCAGTCTCCACTCTGCTCTTCGATCTTATATGGTCTCGAGAACATGTTGGGGGTGATTGCCGCTAATTCCCCGTCGGGCGACTCCTGGTATGTTAAGGGGCGGTTGTTCATTGCCCTCTGGATATCAGAGATGATTGTCAGAAGAAAGAAATAATTCATTTTGCCTCTATCAATATCCTTGTAGAGGCATGTCGCCAACATCTGAATACTTCTCTCCCAAGTTCCCCTGAACCATTGAGAAAAAAAGGGAATCGTGTTTAGCTTCATGTTGCACGAGTCAAACATATCTTGATACTTCTGAAGGAGAGACAGACGACCAAACAGTCTTCCGTTACCCAAGAAGGTCTTAGTATTAACGCTGTAAAGAGCTTCGGGAATACCATACATGTTTGGTAAACCGGACCAAAGCCTGAAACAAAGACAAAACACTCGTGTCCAGTACCACCTCGATATGTACTGCCCTAATGCTCAAGCAAGTAAACAGAAGCAGGTACATTTTCCTTTCTATGGTTTCTTCCTTCACCCTAAGATGTCCCGTGAAATCGACTCCCGAGTTCCTAAAGGGTACTTCGAACTCTACGCGAGGAACCGGTAGGCTGGACACATTGGGCGGCAGCACAGATTTGATATTGAATCTCTTGCACCGGGCACATGAACCTAGAATCTTTTTGACCGCCTGTCTCCCCTGAGGAACCCAATAACCGCTGCGCCTCAACTCGGCCAGAGTCGACCCCACTCTCAGATGAGAACATCTAGAATGACAGTCCATGACAATAAGTTTAGTAATAAGGTGTTTTTTTCCCAGTAAAAAGGTGTTCTTAATGTTATATCCAAAATACGATGACCTATTAATTCGGCCAACAGAGCGGAAAAAAACATCTCGGTCCAGGAAAAGATCGAGAACATGGACCAGGCGGGACAAGAAACTCTCAAGAGGATCCAGGAGGAATCCAAGTTCCTATGCAAATTCCTGTTCTTGCAGAGTTTTCATTAGATAAAGAGATTCTTTCCTGTCACAGTCCTCCTCTCGTCTCCGCTGTCTACTGATGAACAGTAAGGACGTGATCTTCAACAAACGGGTGAACGTAGAAAACCGTCCCAAAGGCACAATGGAAGGACATTTTTCCTCCAGGACCACCGAGAAGTTCTCTGAAGATCGGGCAATCCAGCGGCTCTGCCTATCGAAGTTTTGGGTCGGCCAAGAATGGATCTCACCGTGCAACCAAGAAGGACCATGGTAAAAAAATCCCAAGTTAGACTTATTCAGTGTTAATCCTCTGGTGATCATGTCCGCGGGGTTTTGCGTTGTGGCGAAATACTTAAAGTGAAGTCTAAGTCTATACTGCGAGTTCAACCCATGATTACAGGATGTCCTTGAGTCTATTTCTTGCAAAGACGTGCTTACTGGCCATGGACTGAGATAAAATCTAGGACAACCCTACTTGAGCATTCGTGGCCACATACAAATTAGAAGGGAGAAGCTCCTTGCAGTTGTCTAAGATGGTAAGCAGACATTTGAACGGCTATCAACTGTAAGGTGGGAAGAGTTTTATCCTTCAAGGGCGCAAACTTAGCTTTAGTGAAGACCAAGGACGAACAATGGTCCTGCACAACGTAGGCAGCGAACCCATAAACATCTGTTGACGCATCGCAGAACAGGTATAAGTCCCTAGTTCGGTTGCCATCAAGGGTTTGTCGGTCAAAATGGATAGCGCTCAAACCGGAGAGGTCATCGCGAGACTTCTCCACGACAACTGGGATTCTTGAGGAACCTTAACGTCCCATCCTAGACCCTTCTTCCACAACATGTCCCATCCTAAACCCTTCTTCCACGCACGGTCACTGGGAGGTACAGAGACAATGGCTGTCTCACAAAGGATCTGCCTCTTGGTCGACGCGTCGGTATTGCGTCTGACAAGTACAATGTGCAACTTTTCCTAGAGAGGATTATATATGTACCCCAGTGCCCTCCCCCCACTCGTCCTCACGAGTGCTCAAAGTCAGAGTCGAACCACCTGGCAAGGAAACAGCCGGCCCCTCGAAAACGTCCAACAGTAGGTTAAAATTGGTCAGACAGGTCCAAAGTACCGGCAACCAGAACCGGGGAGCGATGTGCATAGCTGGACCCAAATTCAAGCTCCAAAATGACCTCCCTAAATCTCCTGTCGCACTCCTCAAGAGGGGTAGACAGTTTAAAGCTGGTGATCGAAGCCGATAGACTCCAAGGAACCCAAGGATTGTAGCACGTCATTGGCCAAGTAGGTATGACTATTCCCAGTGTCCATCAAGCAGTTGGCCAAAATAATCTTCCCTCTTCTACCGAAGGTCACACAGAGGACTGGTGGGAAGTTGTGAAAGTACCTTGAGGGTGTTTGAAAGACAGAAACGACTTGGAATGAGACGTTTCTGCGCATCGAGATACCTCTTGACTTTGGTAAGGGTTCTTGTCGGGGAATCCGGTTAACATTGAAGAGAGAACCAGAAAATTCACTTTCTTTAATAAGGAGACATTTTATAGCCTCACTGGTTTCCCGCAATAAGGAAGACAAGGCTGGTATTTTCCTTTCAGAGATCAGGATCATCTCTCCCTTCAACTCCCTCGGGAACTTGAGGAAGAGAAGTTTAGCCATTAGGCGAGCCTCAGCCGAATCATCTTTGGAAAAGTCACAGGAAAAAGACCGCCCCAGTTTGACCAAGAGTGAAGATGTTCTAGAAATTAAATTTTATAATATTGTAACTACCTCCACCCGCTCCAACTTTTCCGGTAGGAGGCTATAAAGTTGGACGTGACACCCACGCCTAAAGACACAACTCGCAGGGCTAGTCCTTCTGCTCCTCGATCAATCACGCCGCTCCAACCGAAGGTAAGTCACTCCATTTTTTCACAATGCAGCAAGTGTTTTTATACAAAGACTTTTGTGTTTTATTTGAAATTTTTTATATGTTTATGTTGTCGTATATCCATTCACTTGGTAAATGAAATCAATGTTATATATCTACACACATCAATCCTTTACATCCAGTGTGTTTTAAACACAAATGTTTTATTTTTTAATTGTTTTTTTTACAAAAATGTCTATTATGCAACAAACAGCTGGACATCTTTACAGAAATTAACAACTTGTATTATTATTGTCTTTGTATCTCTTTTAGATCGAATGAGTGTACAATAAAATAGTAAAGAATTAAAGTTTGTAGAATTAACGTTTGCCAAGGATAACCATTAATATTTATCGTTTGGTATAATTCCCATTTAAATGAAGTATGTTGATCCGTTTATGGTATTTTTGCCGTGACTAATTAACAAAATACTTTATTTTCGACAGATTATGGTGCAGCGGTCCTTGTCGGCTAAAAATCTTTCCCACGCTAAAGGAGGGTCGATTGTTGCTGGATATTTGAAGATTTTACCATTTTTTATGTTTGTTTTGCCTGGAATGGCAGCTCGTATTTTGTTCCCAGGTTAGAAACATCTCTATTAATAAGCGTGTAAGGAACATGTGTGTGTGGGGGGGATTCAGTGAGATAATATCTTCACCCGAAAAGTGCGATCAAAAATGAAATCATACGAAAAGGTCATATAGAATTGCTTCGGCATTAAGAAGCATGTACAAGTTTTTAAGTTTTCCGAAATAAAGAAATGAACTTAGTTTATAGTAAAGTGAGTTAGTGTCTGGTATGGTATTATTCAAATAATAACAATGATAGTTTTAAAAAAATATTACGACTTTCAACAACCCAACAAGGGTGAGGAGAAATTGATTTGTTCAGGTAGGAAAAAAGTGGTATACTTATTTTGGGTTATAGAAACGATTACTAACAAAAAACACTTGTTGTCTTCTGTATTAACCTTTTATAGTTGTAGCGGTCATGTGACCGTGTTACCATCTTTTCTTTTTATGTGCCATGTTCTTTCAGGACGTAGGCGATCATGGCTCTCCACCTCCCTCTATCCCTTGCAGCTTTCAGCAATTTCCTTCCCTCTGTTTCTTCCCCCAGACCACGTTCTGTCATGCACCTGCTCAAGCTCGTCAGGTATGTCACACGCTGCTTTCCCTTGTCTCTCTTTCCCTCTATTCGACCCGTGAGTATCAGATTCTATAGATCCTCCTTCCTCATTATGTGCCCCAGAAACTTCAGCTACCTCTTCCTGTTGTTAAGTATAAGCCTTCTTCTTGTTTGTAACCTATCTAAGACCTCATCGTGTTACCATACGTTGTATAAAAGGAGAGGAAATCTCTCCTTTTTTTCCTTCACTGAGTTATCTTCCAGACGATTTTACGTCACGAAAAGGGCAATATTTTTCGCAACAAGGTCAGTGCTATTGCTTCCATTTCCTTCTCGTTCGGAGCGATTTCTCGAAAAGGGTTATGTTTATATAGTCCAGCCGTACTCAGTAATTGACCTGAACAATCGGAAACTAACATAGTTTATTTTTTATAAATAAGCATTTTTTTCACTTTGCGATTATATAAGAGAATTTCCTATATACATTAATGTCTCCTCTTCACATAGGATTATTTCTTTCCGGACTCTTTCTCACGCGAATATAGACATTTTGTGCGTGTGTAATAAGCATAAACACTATTGCAGACAGGGCCTTATCAGAAATTCTATCTAGCAAGCAACAGTCAACAGAGGAATGGTAACGATAAAGGAAGAGATAACTGAGTCTATTAGTGAAAATCGGAAGCACATGCAAGAACAGGGAGTGGGAGAGTGAGTGAGTGTGTTCCCTTGCCAATGGAAGATGTTCGCAAACACCAAAGCCGTGCATGTAAAACACTTAGAATCCTTCCGAAAGAGAGGAAGATAGTCAGGAACAGAGAATTCAGTTGAAGAGATTGAGGAATTTAGATTAGTTTCAGAAAGAGCTAGGATGTCTGGAGAATTTCCCAAGAGAAACGATTCCATACTGCAGAAATTGGTATGAATACCACGAAGATTGAGTGTTTTTTTTTTTTTTTTTCGAACTGGTTTAGTTTTGTTTGGTTTATTGCGTTTGGTTATGATTATATTTTTAAAGGTGGAAAAGCCCAGAATAATATTAGCTGCTGGTCGTCAAAGGCAACATGGCGCAGACTGCAAAATAGTGTGGTCTCAGCGTTGCCCACCGGAAGTGGTTACAGAGCCACCTACCCAGGCGCTACATTGTAATACAACTTTGACTTTTGACTTGTATCGGTTTTCACCCTGGTCAGGTTAAACCGGCTTCCTCCCGAGCAAGTACAGCATCACAGACCATCGCTGCCCACGTTCGCCGATCTTGAGCCAGGTCACACGAAATGGCGAGCCAATCGCGATTCCATCGTCGAAGACCAACTACTTGTGGACCCGATAGTACTGCTAGGTCATCCTTGATTGTGCTAGCCCACGTTCTCAGCTGCCCACCGATTCGTTTTCGCCAGCCAGGAATAGAAGGAGGGAGAAGTACATCGCAGATTAGCTCTCCCTCCGGGCGTCGAGCTGCGTGCCCGAACCAACGAAGACGACGCTGGAGCAGGACGGGTGGAAGAGGACGGAGACTCAGGCGACGACGTAGAGTGGTCGTGGGCACACGATCGATTCGGCGGCATCGTAGAATGCAGCGAAGGCAATCGTTGTCGAACACTTCAAGCCTTCGTAGATCAACCGCTCTAAGTGGCCACGTTTCGCAGCCATAGAGAAGGATAGTTCGAACAATAGCCTGATAGATGCGCCCCTTCGTAGCTGTGGAAATCTCCCGTCGCCCCCATAGTGACCGCTTGAGACGCACGAATGCGGACCTTGCAGCTCTTATACGGCGTTCAACCTCAGCAGCAGCCTGTCCGGATGGTATAATGATTGAAACGAGATAGACGAAAGACTGCGCGTCATTGTAATACAAGCTAAATTGTTGCGTTCAATTTTTATAAATTCCTGACTTTTGAATTTTATGGTTAGTCATTTCTAGTCTGAAGTGAAAATTATTGTAGTTTTTCTTATATTAAATGCCATTTTCCTTCGGAATGTAGCGTGTCCCGGTCTCCAGATTACTTTCTGTGAATTGCTCTGATTTCTTGGAAAGTGGAGTGGTTTCCCATTGTTTCCTTCAGTTTTGAATTCAGAATTTGCCTTTTTTCAGTTCAGTCTACTCTGCTATTTAATCCATACTTTGGGAAGACAAGAGACGGATTAATGCCGTTCCAAAAGACATTTTTGTGAAAGTGAACGCAACAATTATCCAGAATCTGTATTCGGCTCCCCGATTTCATTTTTTGTGCTGCTATTCGTTACACCACCCGCACTTCCTCGTATTTTATTTTCATGTGCGCTATCAAATTTAATATTTGTACTTGTATGAATTTTTGATAAATACTGAACTTTTTTCATTACAGATGAAGTCGCTTGTATTGAGCCTAAAATATGCCAAAGTGTTTGCGGTAATCCTTCTGGATGTTCTAACATTGCTTATCCGCTTTTAGTGATGCGAATCCTGGTGCCTGGTAAGATGTTTTAACTTTCATTTCGTATTTCAGTGGAATGCTGTAATTTTACGACTGTCGTTAATTTTGAAAAATATTTCTTTCATTTTAATTTCAGTTGATTTCATAGCAAACCTTCAGTATACAGCGCGGATTGGAAATAAAGAATTGTCTCCAAGTGAGACATGAACTCTATCCATATACAACAATTTTACCGTCTTTTTTTGCGGTGAAAAACACATAGATTTGGAAATTCTTGCAAAAATCAAATAAATGTCGGATTTTAATGAAACTTTCAGAATTTATTCACAAATGAATTAAATTATTTTAGAAATATAATTTGTTTTTTAGAAAATCTTGGTAAAAATATTTTTACATCTGTTACCTCCCCCCCGCCACTTTAATTTTATTTAATTTCAAGAAATTAAATTTTGACCAATTTAATGTTTATATTAGTTACAAGCACTAATCCTTGGGGGATATAAATTATCAATTTCTTTTTCTGCACTGAATCATAAAATAAAAAATGCAATAAAACTATGACATTATTTAATTAGAAAATATTTTAATTGCTTTTATGAGTAAGATATATTATGGACACTATTGTCTTAAAAGATTTCGGTGATAGTAACAACAAACATGATATTAGTCCAACTTTAAATAATGCAAATAATAACTTCCTTGTCAACTTAAATCTTCTCCATCGATCACATAAATTATGCAATAAAAATTTCAGATCAAAATTCATATGAACTTATCTTGCATACACGAGTGTAGATCAAATATATATATATATATATATATATATATATATATATATATATATATATATATATATATATATATATATGCACAAACTGGATACTAAACTTTAATCTTTGAAAAAATATTGCATTTTAGAACCATGATGTTCAACTTGAAAATCTTTCAAATCTTGGTCATAAAATTCTATTTTTAAATATGATTTCTATAATTTTTAAGTATTCCCACTTTTTTAATATTATCCTGCATTTGGCTCGATAGTAATTAGGATGTTTGGCCGGGGCTTGTATTTTTATGCTAGCCAGTCGAGACTGGCGACGATAAAGATATTGCAACGCATTAACCTGCAAATGGCGATGTAACAAAGTTGACAAGAATTCAAGCCCAGATGTTGATTTAAAATAGAAAAAAACAACTTATGCGATTATGAGCAACAAAGTATATCACAAAACACAACACAAAGTAAATACAAACCGTACAAAAAATAATCAACAATTATTTGGAAAGAGTAGCACAAATATTCTTTTGTGTACCAAAAAGTTAAATTTAAACAGGGAGAAAGTTCAAAGAACTCACTCGAAATAAAAGCGCGTGAGAAAAATTATAAAGGTGAGTCGAATGAGAAGAGAACTGAGTTAGTTGGGATGAAACTGGTTGTCATATATATTAAAGAGTCCTAACTTGACAGGGATTTAGAAGGGTTGAACTTCTCCAGTTACTGTCGTCTAGTCTTTACTTGCGAGGGGTTCTAGTATAATCCGATTTTTTTCTTTATCATTTTTTTTCAATTCCTTAGATTGTTGGGTCAGATGTATTCGTCTAAATTTCCACCAACGCATCCAGTTCCACGCCTTCTTTCCACTTACGCAATTTTGCGTAGCTGCATGACTTTAAAATTTTCCAGTGGTAGTTACTTTTTTTTGAGGTGGGGGGGGCACCGGCTTAAAATTATATGCAATGTTATATTGATTTCTTCGATCTTTTTCTTTTTATAGTTTTTTTTCTTAATACCACCAAGCAGAATTTGCAAGTGTAGAGGGTAATTCTCCTTTTTCAATAATATTCGTGCTTATCAACACCATTCTAACTGAAATCAAAACCAGATCAAATATGTTTTTCATGCAGGAATATATATATCATGCAAAGTTATACGACCCTTCTCGCTTCGAATATTTCGTGACATTTTGTTTGTCGTGACTAAGTCTAGACAAGGCTTCTGGAACAAACATCAAAATTGGATGTCTTCTTCAGCGGCAGGAATTCACGTGAATTCGGTGAAGCGGTCGTCCCTCGCATTGGCGTCTTGCGGCTTCTTTCTTTGATCGTTTCGATTCTCTGTTTATATGGACCTCCGTCCAAAATCGGCATGGGGTCTGATGTGGGTCGTGATTTCGGCCATTCCCTTAATCTCCACAAAGAGTTCTTTGCTTGTTTGACTCTAGGGAAACTAATTGCATGCCCAATTTTGGAGAGATCCCTCCTCCGATGAGTAGTGGTAGCAGATTATCGATCCACCCCAACTCCTTCCTTCTCGTATTGGCGCCTCATACCAATACTGCCCAAGGGGTGTAAGCAATTCCTCCGCCTCCCTTTAGATTCCACTTAGGCCCTTCACTTCCGATCTCTAGACTGCACGGGCAAGCAAGCATGGCTTAGTTCCAATTATTAATTTTAGTTAACGTCCAAAATTTTCATCAACGGATTTCCTCGACTCCTTCCTCTATCTCAATCGGGCATTCATTAGCTGTTCCCCTGACAGCCTCTTCTCTTGGTATTTCAGTCCTTCTCCAATGAAATCTCAGCGATTCATACCCCCTCCCTTTTTGACAGGTCATTAAAAACAATTCTCCAACTTTGCCTTGGTTTCAAGAAACCTTAAATTTTATCTCTCGACCGACTTTTCCTTACCGGGTCTTGGCCAGCAAATATTTACATAACCTTGGTTTTAAAACAATAATGTCTCCATTTTGGCTTTTACACTACCTCTCTTCACCTCCATGGGTTTAAATTATCCAGATGGATTTTTCGATTAGCCCCCACCCCCAAATAATAATAAAGCCATTTTACTCCCAGTCAATCCCCATTCCTGACTTGGTCATCGGAGGTCCCTCATATCTTTATTCTTCGGTCGACGTGTTGACAACCCAGTATTTACCAGGTCTATTTCATAGTCAGTTGCTAACTTCGGCCATATGATTTAATATGTTCTTGGGTTAAATTAGCAGAGAAAACTCGACTTTCTTGGAAAAATGTAGGTGACGAGAGACCACCCGACTATCTTTCCCAAGAAGTAACAGCACGTACGAAGACTAAGTGTAGCCCAATGCTAAATATGGAAAGTAATAAAAGAGGAGGATCGGTGTATCTTCCTTAAAATATTTTTAAAAATTAAAAATTATTTTCCAAGCATACCTTAACAAGAGGCTACTAGTAAATTGAATCTAGTAAGAATCTGACTATTGTCCTAATCTACTAAGTGAGCTCAACTATTACTTATAGCCCGTTACTGACTTGTATGTCCTTTTTCTCATTCATCGTTTATAAGATTAAATCTTTTTAATCTTCCCGCCTTTTTTAATTTTTTTTTTATTTGAAAATGAGAAAAGCTAGCTTATTCGACGTCTGGAAATAATGCAGTTGGATTAAATAACTTTAGTGGCAATTCGTGAAGGTAAAACAATTTTTAAGTCTGGCATCTTGCACCTGAGGCTTCGATCATTCTTATTTGATTTGTTTTTTTCTTTCCTATATTTTAAAGGTCTTCGGGGTATTATGCTTGCTGCAATGCTAGCAGCAGTGATGAGTACCATGACATCTGTTTTTAACAGCGCCAGTAGCATCTTCACAATGGATCTTTGGACACGATTCAGGAAGAACGCTTCCAGTTTGGAACTGCTTATTGTTGGGCGGTAATTATTTGATAAACTTCAAACACTAAACTGTTTTTATTTTAATTTCAGATATAAATATGAAATTCAGACAGCATGTTTTTTTTTTATCTTCTCTGCTCTTCCATCAATCTTTGTGATTTGAAACCTGAAGTTTTAATCAGTGTGGTTTTCTTGTTAGGGTTTATAATTTTTATTAATAGATATAGCCATCCTGAATAAATATTAAGTTGATTGATGTATATGTTTTGACATTTGGGGTCTAATAATTGTTTGTTTTTTTTTTTTTAATTTTCTTGTTTAATAGAATAATCATCTTGGTTTTGGCAGCATGTGCCATTATTTGGATTCCTATTATGCAGTCTGGCCAAGCTAGTGAGCTGTGGCAATATTGGCAGGCACTCATGTCAGCTGTGGGGCCACCGTGGGGACTTGTCTTCTTGATGGGATTTTTTTGGAAGAGAACAACAGAACCTGTGAGTTATTATGCAGCTTTATTAAAACTTCTACATTCAAATATTGAGCTTTTTTTTATTATCATTTAACCAATCCAAGATCAGCTTTCCATTAGGAAGGCATTGTTTTAAAATGCACAATTATGAAATTTGTAACATCATAAACTTTCAAAATTTTGCTTTTGCAGTGACTGCAACGGTTATTATTGTTACAGTTAAAAGCTGAAATAAACTAAAAATGAACAGGTTGAGATGATTGATGATGGAGGATAAAGAGATTATAGAATTTAAATTTGATAATGGCTAATATCATGAAAAACTAGAGTTTTCTCTTGATTTTGTTTAACAGTTCAGTTTAGGACTGCATTGCTAGACTACCAATCCAGATGATTTCATTATCATGGAGAAGTCTAGTGTAGAACTGAATTTTTTTTTTCACCGTATGAATCCGAATACGTTCGTCGCCAAGTGTTGTATATGGCGAACGAATTTTTTTTTCCTCCGTATGAGTATGAATCCCTCGTCGCCAAAGTTGTTATAGAGTAGTTTCACAGTGGAGGCTTGTATTTCACTAAGTCGGTCCTAAAAAGGTTCGACCTACAAAACGTTAGGAACTTGATATAATAGTTAATGACGCAGCAATCTAGTTGTGGTGGCTGATACTTTAATGTCCGACATCAACTGACTCACCAACTCACTGCGCGACTGACTACTGCTACTATTACTATTTATTATAGGTGGGAGAGTCTATTAACAATAGAATAGGTATGATCCAGTATAACAATAACCAAACACAATTTTTCAAGGGAGCTGATAACTGAGAAATGGTGCACATGAAGTTTCCAAATGGGTCTCTTCAGGTTTGAATTCTGATTTCCTTCTAGACTAGATGTCCTAACAAAAACTAGTTAGGTCTGCTATTTAACCATAGTTGGTGGGGGGATATGCATTCATGCCTTTTCCAAAGCATGAATCCTTTTGATGAAGCAGAATCAACTAGTAGAATTTGAACTCTGCTTGGCAATTTCACTTTCCATGCTGATAGCAATTACATTATCCACACACACACATACATACCCATCGCCCATCACCATCACTGCCTTCCATCAGCATGGCTGATGTTAACCTCTATGAAAGTTACTCATTGCAGCTTCTCGGACTCATGTTCTCAATTGACATTAAGTAGAAAGACTATATTGAATCCATTGCTAGGTCAGCTGCTATGAAAGCTGGTTCACTGTGTCATGTGAGACAACTTTTCTCTCCAGAATTTATCATACATATCTATAAATCTACCATTCATCCATGCTTAGAATATTGCTGGCACATGGTCTAGTGCCCCTGATATTTACCTTGAGCTCCTTGATAAAATCTAAAGAAGAATAAGCAATAATATTGATCCTGATCTGGCAGTTTGGCTTCAGTCACTTTTCCACCACCATAAGGTTGCCTCTTTATGCCATTTCTATAAATACTTTAATGGTAATTGTTCAGATGAGCTCTTTGCTATGGTACCTAGACTTTTTGAATTTAAGCACAGTACTAGACTGGTATTGCGATCTCATCAATTTACAGTTGAACCGGCTGGATGTAGCCATAAGTTCTATGCTAACGGTTTTTCTCGCACTTCTTACTTGTGGCTCCATGCTTTCCAGTCAACTTTAATTTGCAAAAATCTAAATGCAGTGTCAATTGCTATCTCCTGTCCTCCCGATTACTTTTCTCTTTCTGCTCATTATGAATGTTTCTGTTCCTAATTTTCTATACCCTGTAATCCCTTGTGTTTTAGTGGCTTTACTGCTTTGCATGGGGTGATAGCGATTTTATATATATATATATATATATGTTTAAAAAATTCCAAGATTAATGCATGGATTAATAATATCTCTGCCTTGGATCCGAGTATTTATGTCTTCCAGAGGATCAGACCACATGTTCCTTGCTTTTTGGCTGAAATCAAAATATATCTTTTTATTCTCTTCTACTGTGTTTCCAAATTACAGTGCAGGGCATCAATGCCATATTTCTGCTTTTGAACAATTTGGAGTCTGATGAGATAGATTTGGAGGATTTCAAAACCAGCATGATAGTGGTTGAAGGGACTGTGCAGTTTTTGTCATTTCCGTATGAGGAGGCAAATAAATATTAACACTGGTCTATGCTACTCAGACTTTTGGCTGGGAACAAAGTAGAGTATCTGTTCTCCTCTGGCATGTTCTTGTACTCAAGTGAAGTCCATTTTTTTGTTAATGGTTTAGCAAAATGGAAGTCTCCTTTGAGATGTTAACCCTTCAACAGCATTGCACCAAAGAAGGAGGGCTTGAGTATTCTGTGTGACAGAGGTTGAGGGTGACTAGATAATTTTTACTCTTAGCCCAAATGGAAATATGCTGACACCACACATGATACTAACCATTTACATCCTGCTACAATTGAATGGGTACGTAAATACAGGATCAGAGTAGTGTCTGTGAAATGTATATGTGCACCATGTAATTGAGAACAAATTATACCAGGGTACTGAAAAAGTTCTAAACCTATTACCCATAATCAATATTTCAATGACTGAAAGAAAATTTAGAAAGTTTACAGAAACTTTAGAAATGATGTTTTCTGTGTGATTCTAAAAGGATGCAAGTTGACATACACATTTTTTAAAATGTTTTCCTGTTTTTGAAATGAGCAAATTGATCACTGTCAGATGATATCAACAATATTGTACTTATACCTTTTTAGTATCACACTGATGATGTATGGAATATGTTGAATTGTGGAGTGAATATTAGTTGGGCATGTAGTTTTTTCTGGCTCTAAGTTATTCTTAGTTTGGTCAAGAACATTTCAGTGATATAAAAACAAAGCTATTCAATAATGAAAAAAAGCCCTGCATATTTTCACTACTTCATTTTATTGACCACCGTGGAGGTGGTGATACTGATCCTAAATCTTGCAGGAAGAATAGTGGCTGTATGACATTGCTCTCATTGCTCATCAACTGCAGGACCATTAAACAATGTGGGCTCCTTGCAGAACCACTTGTCATTTTTGATGTTCACTTGACCCCTTTCAGGAAGCTTATTATCTTTTGTCACTGTAGTTGGTAGCTTGTACCACAAACACCATGTACATTTTCCTTTCCTGTGTTGTATTAATGCTCTTGATACATCTGACAGAGAAATGAGAATATTAAAATTTGGTACCAGCTGCATAACATTCCGATAGGATGTCTTTCCTTTATGGCTTGCTAAAGACATGTTCTTGAATGTCTTACACATGCATAAGTATAATTAGATGGCAAAAATTCATTCAAACAAATTTTGTTAAATTCAGGCAACAAAGTCTGTCTGTTTGTGTTTTTTTTTTTTCCACTTTTGTTGTAAATCCAAATCCAAATTGTGGATAAGCTGGTCAAAGTTCATGATTTTGCTTATACTTTTAACTATCTCAATCATTATCAAGAACTCTATGTTGTCAGTGGGGTAGACAAGATATTGTCAGCTACATCCTGCCATTTTATTTATTTATTGAATGAACAAAAGCATAGACAATTTATCCACAATTTTGATTTGGATATTTAATATACAACTTATTTGAAAATTGGAAAAATTAAAACTTCTCTGTTGAATTTAACAAAAGTTATTTAAATATGTAATTTTTTTATTTTGTAAACACGCTATAAGCTTGGATGTGCAGAGGGTTAATAGATAATGTCTTCAAATGAGAAATCAGAGAGCCAAGTTCAAATTACAGTTGAGTTAGCTATATTCACTTACGCACAAATACTCTTGGAAAAGGTATGAATCTATCTCTTCTCCTTCAGCTATGGGTTAAATAGGACAAACTGAGTCCTATAGCCTTGGTTGGCAACTAGTCTAATACAGAAAGTAATGGCAGTCTATTGTGGAAATTCTTCTTCCAGTCAATCATGAAAGGAAAAGAAATGTGATCGTCCAAGCATGTGTCATGCATTGACACCTAATAAAGGAACTCGACACAGCTGTATACAATTTCAGAAATATTTAGATAGAAAAATGACTAATCTTTGACCATTTCATAAACATATGACTAATGGGCTTTTCTCTCTCTCTCTCTCTCTCTATATATATATATATATAAGCTGAATTTATTATATTAATAATTGTATCAGTGAGTAAGAGATTACTTAAAAGGACCTGCTGTGCATCATTCTGTGTCTTGGTTGGATTTTTTTTTTTTTATTAGTAACTGAATGGAAGAATGATTAAAATATCAAAAACAGATGGTTAAAAAAGGACAATTGAATTGTGATAGTCTGGTATGATGCATGAATTTAATGTAAAAAATCAGATATTTTATCAAAATGTTATTAATACTTTTTCTTACCCATTGTGTTTAAAGTTCAAATATTCTCATTGTTTCATTTATAAGCTTTTCAGGTAACCTAAAATATTACATCAAAACTAACATTCACTCTAATAATTAGATATACAGTGATACAACAACTATTCAAAGTGTCTATAGAAATTAAAATTTCCCCAGTGCATTTAGCTTGGTAACAGATCTAATGAATACAAAATGAATTCAAAAAGTTGATAATTTAATATCTAAGATCTTAGTGAAAACATGGAATTATGCTTAAAGGATAGAAAGGTTATATATTGGATTCTGATAGCAGAAGAAATTCACACTTCTGGTGTGTGTTGTTGTTGATGAAAGACTAATTATAATTAATTTCAATATTACATTTTATATGCAAACAGATAGTGAATATGTGTACAATTAAGAAAAAAGGATCATTTAATACTTAGATGTTTTGCAAGAAAACTTATGAAAAATATTAACTTCAACTCATGCCTAGAGGATACAAAGTGTATGATCTAACATCCTCACAGAAGAATTTGTTATCTCCCACTATTGGTGAATGTTAGTCTTGGTTCAGAAAGGTAAAGCTCATTTATAAGACTATGAATAAATGAAAATCACCATAGCAACATTAGCACTTAAATGTGCAATTTAATGAATCTTGTAATTTTTTTTTTCTCAACTAAAATTGGAAAATTGAAATTGCTGAAAAAATCTGTATGTTGTGCATTAGAAAATCACAGATTGTCAGTGGGATTAGAATTCAATGTAAGTGTTCCTAATAAAATAGACCTATTACTCTTATGTGCTTAATAGGCATGATGGAGAATCTTTTATATTTTAATGGCTTTTTTTGTTTATATTATATTTTTGTTTTGAACTTTGACCCATTAAATGAATTTCCAACCCACCGTTTATTATACCTACTGTTTATTGCATATTGAGAAAAATAATTATATATATTGTGTATTTAGGCAGCAAATATTCTTTAAGTTAAATATTATTAAAGACAACAGAAATTGTATCAATTAATTTTACTGATTAACTTTTCAAAATTACAAATCATTCTTGAACAAAGTAAATTCTATCAGAAATTGTCTGAAGTTTATTTCGGAAGAAATATGGTCCAAGCTTTCAACTTTGTCTGCATCAGAGTAATGGTGACTTTCGTAGAACTAATGAGTGTTGTGACATAGGCAAGGTGTGTGGGTGTTTCTTTTTGTTTATATACATTTGAGGATGCAGGATCTTTATATATATATATATATATATATATATATATATATATATATATATAAATTATTTATGTAAAAAATGAAATACAGTTTTCCAAACTCAAGAATGCACTTCAAGAATTAAGAACAGGGAATGTCTGAAAAATCAGATGTCAAAGTTGCTACAAGTGAAAGAAAGTGATGTAATCAGTCTGTAGTGAAAATTACTGAATTCTTTGTCTTCGCTATCTTCTTCTGCTCAGTCTTACGCTGCAGTCGACACCAAAACAAACAACACGTGTGTCTTTTGCACAACTTGACACCTTTTTGCCCCGCTTACCCTTGTAAACTCTCAGCTTTTATGCCCATGAGGCATACGCTTATGCAAATGAATATGGGCCTCACTCCCAGTCTGGTCACGCACGCGCACTGTCATTTTTGTGTCCACCGCCATGATGTTTGCCTCGTCAAATGTTCACTCATTCATTCGTTACAAGTGAATAAAAGAGAAAAAGAATTAAAAAAAAAAAACAAATAAGGAGAGAGTATGATGTGATAAGAAAAACAATGAATAGGAGAAATAGCCATGACATTCTACTCATGTATGCATGCACATGAACACACACTGTGAAAGTGGGCAGGGGGGTGGGATCAACCTTGCATCAATGAAAAGTATATATATAAAAGTAAAAGTAATATAAGTAGTAAAATTGCTGATCTCCCATGGCGAGTGGACAGTGATTGCTGGATGGTCTGTCTATGGAACTCTAGTTGAGATGCTGAAGGTATCACTAATCAGCTAAGTGACAAACTTTATATTTGTATTAATTATATATATATATATATATGTAAAGGCATTGTTTATGATTTTACTGTAGAAATGAATCGAAAATAAAAATGATGAGGATTTTCAGTGGTCAAAAGTTGATGTAAATGTTACTAACATAAAGAGGTTATGCACAATTCAACATTTTTTATTTTTTTTATAGGCTGCATTTTGGGGAATGCTGGCAGGACAGTTACTGGGTTTTGCACGCTTAGTAATGACCTTTGCCTACAAAACACCAGTGTGTGGCTCACAGGATGAGCGGCCAATGTTCCTGAGAATCCATTTCTTATATATTGCTGCAATGGAAACAGCTGTTTCTGCATTTGTAATGGTGACACTTTCATTTCTGACCAAACCAAGAACTGAAGAAGAGGTTTGTAATCATTTTATGTATGAGATTTGACAATGGGTTTTAATATTGTTTATTCAACTCCAAACTGCATCAATTAATATTGGCAAGTTAATGTGTACCTTTAGGAGATTTCTCTGAAATCTCACAAGATTGTCTTTTCCCTCTCAGTAGTGGCACAGATATATTTCTTTGTTATCCATATATCTTAAGCATAGTTGAGTCAATCACCTGTTTACATGTTGGTTTGGTCACTGATATCCTATATGAGGCACAAATCTGCACTTGTTGGCTAGGAGGTCATCTTCGAGGTAAACACACTGATGTATCTAGCTTCTCTGAGGCTTTTCTGATATTCCTTAAAGCAAATTCATCATTTGTAATTTTTCTGCAGCTGGTTATAAAATATATTGATATATTGTGAAATATGTTATTATTGTTTAGTTTAAAAAAAAACAAAAAACAATTTTATTTAGCTGTCTATAATGTAGTTTGGAAAGCCATTGTTAACTGACCATAGCTCTCAGTATGGACACATTTAAACCAACATGGAATTGTACCAATTTTAATATACAACATACTCATGGAGAACATCATACTTCCCACTGCAAAAATTGTTTAAGTGATGAAAGCCATTATTATAAAAAAACAAGAAACTATCCCATAACATTAATTATGGAAATGATCACAATATACTGGCTATATTTGGAAGATAAGTATATATCTACATTCAGCAACTTTTATACCATCTATACAATGGCATTTAGCATTTATTATAGTAGAATAACAAAAAATAATCCTTAAATGGTTAACACTTTTGCTGAAAGCACTCAAAACCAATAAATTTCTGGACAATTTTTTCATTCAGAAAGACACTATACAAGGCAAACATAAAAAAACATAAACAAAAGTACCTTGTCCAACTATATATATATATATATATATATATATGAATATATATACATATCTTCATGCATACATACATGTATGTATGTATGTATGTATGTATGAAGATATGTATGCATATAAGTGTGTTGGACAGCATGGTTTATTCCACTATTATTATTGGGTGCTCTGGTATTATCTATAAATCTATAATTCAACTAATTTGCATTAATCATAATAGGTTTAAGTTTAAATCCCCCATTGCTTATTAATAATACTGGACACCTGTAGTACAAAAACTATTTACTGTGAATCCCAGAAAAACACGATTGGGCTTGTATAAGAAATGTCACATAGTAGGAGGCACAGTGTAGTAATGGATAACAGTTCAGATTGAGCAATCAGAGAGCTGAGTTTGAATTCCATTTGGATCCATTACATTCGTTTGTGTGTTAATACCCTTGGAAAAGGTATTAACCCTTTTCTTCTCTCTCCAGCTATGGGTAAATAGCAGGACAGACTGGGTATTATAGCCTTGGATGGCAACTGGTTTAGAAGAAGGAAAACTCTGAATTCAAAATCTACAGAGGGTAGTTTGCGGATCTTGTGGCACATAGTGCACCAGGTCTCTGTATCCAGCCGTTTAAAAGCTGTGGTTTGTTATGCATGTGGTTGGTTATGCACAAAGCCTTCCCCACTATAATAAAATCATGTGTTGGTGTCTGGCTGTCAGTTCCTAGGAACTGAGCTGCTTGACCATCATATGCCGAATACGACGGGAGAGTCCACTATACTTATATGGTCAAAGTAGGAAATTAAATTATGGGGGTCCCCCATCAGATGGTGCCACCCACTAATTCACCCACACCTGTCTTCAATATTTTTTTTATTTGTGTGGTATATCTTAATATTTACATCGCTTGAAGTCAACTTATTGCAATTTCTTTTAAATAAACTAGAATAGCTATCTTTTGTTTGTCAATAAGAATATTCTTTAAGAAATAACATTATTTTATCATTTATTGCAAACCAAATTAGCACATATTTCAACAAAAAAAGACAACAGATTTTTTATAATCAGCATCATAACAATAAAACAATCAAAAGTAAATATGAGCTTGTTATATTGACATAATTTAAGTTTGGAATAAGCATAAGTGAAAAAATATTAATATAATACATACATTATTTCAAATTATAATAGTATCAACTTGACAACATTAGAAGACAGAAAGTGAAACACTGAAATCCAAAGGTGCATTGGGATAACGAAACTACCTTCCAAAAGCTAAGCAAAGTATTAAAAAAACAGAAAATTTAATTAGAAACAAAGAAGAGAGTACTGGAAAATTTCATTAGAAACAAAAAGAGTAATGAAATGTTACATAATATCAGTCCTTCTATATGCTAGTGAATGCTGGACAATTTCTTCACAGATGAAGAGACTTAGAGCAACAGAAATGTGGTTCTACAAAAGGATGCTGAGAATATTATGGACTGAACATGTGAGCAGTGACAGTTTTCAAGAAAATGGAAATAAAAATGACTTATATTGATCAGAAAGAGAGAATTGAAATTTCTAGGGTACATAATAAAGAAAGAGGACTTGGGAAATTTGAGGAACAGAGGAAAACAATGCTAAATTACCTATCTAACTTGAGTAAATGGATGGTAGAATAGGGTTTAGGAGGGATAACAAAAAGAAAATTAAAAGCTACAAAGGATCAGAAATTGTAGAGAGCCATGATTACCAACATCCTGAATGGGCACAGCACACAGGATAGGTGACAAGAGCAATGAATACCCCCCACAACCTTTTTTTTTTTTAAAAAAAAAAAAAAAAAAATATTAGCAAGTAGGTAAATCCTAGTTCACTGGCATAGATTTACATAGTAATTGTAAAAAGGTCAGCATTTATTTACATGCTCAATTAACTGGAACATTAGGGCACTTCAGACATCAGGGATTGACCTTGACCCTCTTAGTGCAATGGGATGTCCTCTTGGAGTTGAGCATGTTGCTCTTTAAATCAAAACCAACCACAAATATTTAGAAAAAAAAAAAAAAAAAAGAGCTGATGGTATTTATTCAAATATCCATTTGAAAGAAATATAGCATAAAGCCATACTTAAAAGGGAAATTCTATGCATACATGGAATTGGAAATCCAAATTTCTCAGCTCCATTGTCACTTCTCTATTGGAACACCTTAGGCATTAACCCTGACTCACCTTCTCTTAGGAGAGTGAAGCAGGTGCTGCTCATAGAGGATAGCTTCCTGGAACTGAGCATATCATTTCTTTAAGCAAAGCCTCAGCAACAAATAACAGGGCAAATTGTTGGCAATTTCAAAATGGTTGAATGAGATGGAAAAAGATAGCTTTTTTTACTTGTCTTATATCAACAGCTCATTTATAGAGAAATGAAATTGGCTTTTTAATTTGGAAGGTTTGGTAATGGAATTTTAAATGGTATTTAACTTAATGAAATGAATTTAATAGTTTATGGACTTTTTACTTTTGTTGTCAATTCATATCTTTGTCATTGTTATCCATTTGAATATATTAATATAGTAAATACTTTTTCGTTTGTTTCAAATAAGTTATGCCGAGTAACCTGGTGGACACGAGAGCAAAAAAAGGAATCAAATGATCCAGCACAAATGAACATTGAAAATATTTGTAAGTACTTCACTAATTTACAATTCCAACTTATTCAATGATGTAATAATTATTGCAAAACTTGAGTTGACTTGCTTGAAAATGAGACAGTCAGAAGTAAAAAGAAAACGTTTGAATAGTGACCAACCATAACTAAAAATTTCATCCATGTTCCCACAATCATCAGGTAGTCAGCAATTGTTTTTGTGAAAATGGCCAATTTATACTTTCTCGGCTAGAACATAACATTAAAACAAGGGCAGCTGATGTGAACATAGTGAGTTTAGTTTGTGTGTGCATATTGAGAGGGGAATGCCTATGGGGGTTGACTCAAACATAAGGGGGGGGTGAATGTGTTTTTCTAAGTTTCTTTCTAACACAATATCAAATTTAAATAGCTTTAAGATTGGAAGGTTTTAAGTAAAAATATCACCCCACCACCACCACCACAAGAAAAAACCTGCTTCACTAATAGCAAGATAAATAACCCAATGATTGAAATCACTGCAGCTCTGATAACTTATTTGTCAACAATCAGAAATTATAATTGATTTGTATTTTCAAATTAATAATTAGCCTTAAAACTAGATAAGACTTTTATGCAAATTTCTAGCAATCAAAATAAATTTTACTAGAAGTATAGAGATATTAACACTTGTTGATAAATATATTTACTTTAACTGGATATTTACAATAAAATTGGCTAAAAATAAAATATTACATCTGTTATAAATACACATATAGCAGCACAGAACAAATGAAACAACAGCACCATTAGTGAGGTGAAAGGAAAAGAAGACCAGAATTGTAAATATAAAATTCTTTTATATTACCAATATAGTGGATACAAGTGGAATTTTTCTGTCTGAGTGAGGTGTAGCCATTTTGAATATGGGTAAAGTTGGTAAGGTCTGAATTTGATGTGTTTGACAGGTCAGTTAGCTGAATCCTGGAGTGGATTAGTGAAGCTTGATGCTTGCCACAAATCTGACTTTGCTAATATAGAGGATGCGAGTAGAATATCTCTGTGTGCATAGTGTAGGTGTTTGGAAGACAATGATACTTGAGCGGATATATGTGTGTCAGGTCAGTTGACTTAAGTCATGGTGACATTGAGAACCTGCTAGGCATCAACAGTTGGCTGTATTTCATTCTGTTTGTATTTTTGTTTCAGTTGTTTATGAGTGGCTTTCTTAAAAGTAAATCTGGTGGCTCCTAAGCTCATCTTTTTTTCTTTGACGGCAACATCTATGATTGGTTTTTATGTTGTATTTTAGATTTTTGAGGTGATTTGTTTTGTGGGCTGGATGTGATGCTCAGAGCCACTGCACAGAGGACAATTTTTTTATTTTGGATTTTGCTTTCTTAACACTCACATCCAGCCAACATGTAGAGTGAATCAGAAAAATCTAATTTACAGTGAAGTATAACATATCTTTAAAATATTTGATAATGTTATATATATATATATATATATATATATATATATATATTGCTGAAATTCTGTGTACAAAGTTGAGCTTTATTTTAAAAAAATTGAATTGCATCTCATAAATCTGACATTTTTTTTCTAAAACAGAACCTCTTATATCTAATGAATTTAATGAAAGCCAACCTTTATTGGTTTCTGTACCTGTCCAACACAAAGAAAGCTAAACTTTATTAAAACCTTGGCCTATCGTGTTCTATTAATTTGCTCAAAAATAAAATTAAAAACGAAGTTGAATTTAAGAAAGTTTTAGGTGAAAATGGATACCCTACTCAATATTGTAGTGGCTAGCATTTGTGCATGTTCGGTTGTGGGGGGTGGGGGGATTAGACAATTGATTGTGAAACTAAAAGTGTCCTGTCAAATTTGTGCAAACTGTGGATTTGCTGATATTAATACCAGATTTGCTTGAAAAATTTCTGTTGATATGTAAAAGCTGTTATCTCTCTACCTATCCATACATTATCTTTACATTCCAATTAATGTTAAAATCAGTTCAAAAGGATGTTCTACCTCCCCACTATTTATCATTTTAAACGTCAGCTTGATACTGACTACATAGGTAGAACAGGTTAAAGGTTGGAAGTGAGGATTAATCAGCATAGGTGTGTAACTGCATCTGGGTTGGCAATAGATGAGCACCTAGAAAATAATTATCAATGTGCCCCAATCCTATAGCAAAAACATGTTCTCCATACTGAGGAAGGCTCACTCTGATTTTCACCTTAATATAAATTGACTAAAACCTTAAGTCCTTCCAGCCATTTGTAACTGTTATGTTTTAAATATAATTAACCTTTGATGCTTATTACATAACATTTTGATTTTAGTTGCTGTGCACATTTCTCATCCTCAATTCCTCGCTGATGAGAGAGGAATGAAGTATCTGTATTTCTGAGATGAGGTATTATGTACACTATTTACATTACTTGGACTATTGTCCTCATCTTTGTCGCCATATTTATTACAACGTTTCAGCTATTGTACACTGGCCTTCTTCAGGTGGTTGGAATGTCGAACTGAACCCTTTATTTTGCTCACTGAAGTAGTTATCAGTTATCTCCTGTTAATTCCCCTCTCCAAGTTCTCCACTGCCTTAACCAGATATTGAACTCACACTCTTTGGGTCCTGTTACTCAATCTAATGCCTTTATCCACTGTGCCAGGACATCTGTGTATGAATTTCTGGGTATTATAAACCTAATGTCTTAGCAACCATTTTTTTTACCAGTGCTCATTACTGTAAATTGGTAATATTAAAAAGAAAAAAAACTGCTTAACATTTACATTATTCAGACTATTGTCCTTATCTTTGTTGCCATATTTATTACAATTACAGTGTAACCCGGATATAAGAGAGTTGTTGGGACCGGAGAAGAAGTATCTTATATCCGGGTTTCTCTTATATCCGGGTTTGCTCTATTTTGTTTACATTAACACAGGCTCTAATTTGGGACCAGAGAAAATCTCTCTTATATCCGGGTTTCTCTTATATCCGGGTTACACTGTATTATTTTTGTTATTGTTTTAATGTCCATTTTAATCACTCTGTACCCATGGCCAGATTTAGGGCTTAAGAGGCCCCCAGGTTAATAGAATTTGGGGGCACCGTTCATTATGCATGTTTGCCCCTCCCCATGTTTATAAAAAGAGGTCTGATTGAATTTAAGAAACCTAAACACTCAAGATTGTTTCAAATTAGTTGAAAGAAGGCTCAATAAATCTGAAAATAGACAAATCTCTGTTCTCATATCTTTATTTTTTTTTTTTTAATTTTCTTTTTTTTTTAAGTTTTATCAGGGACCCATGAGCTGCAGCCCATACTATCTCAAATGTAAATCCAGCACTGTCTGTACCCCTTTTTAAAAAATTAGAAATTCCTTTCTTTTCATTCCCTTTACTTTTTACATTTATAAAAAGTATCACTCAAATGACATTTTTTTTTCAATAGATGAAAACAGCAGATTAACCAATGAATGACAATTATATACTGCTTGAAAAAAAAAAAAAATCCTTTTCCATGTTTATAAATTATAGTTATTTTTTTTTCCTTTGTTCAGTGTCTATTCAAGTTATGGCTCTCCACAACTTCTTATACTTTGTAGCTCTTATCAAGTTTTTCTTTTTTATTACCCTTACCACTACTTGTCCTACCATTTACACAATCTCAGGTAAATTACTGTTTTCCTTTGCCCCTCTTGCTTTCAATATGTCCTGTGAATGTCAAATTCTCCAAGCCCTCTTTTTCATTTTATATTTGCAGGTTTTGAAGATAATTCAAGTTGGTATCGTAAGATCCTATTATTGTGTGGAATGTCAGCCAACAAGAATGAAACCAGAAATTCAGATTATGTTGTTGATATGAAAGAAGATCCATTTTGGAAGGATGTTTTAAATATTAATGCGATTATTTTGCTAGTTATAGTATCATTCATAATTGGCTTTTATCATTAACACCATCCTTTTCAGGATATCTTAATAGTGGTATCTAATTTTTATAGCATTAGAAAAATATTTTATTGAATTTAAAGAAATTCTATAAGCTTTAAATCCAAACTTAGGTAAGTATATACACTTTTGTCCTCATTCCAGGAATGAAGACAATGAGAACTTCTTTCTTTTTTAAGTACAATTTATTTTTACCACAAAGATATAAGAAAGATTGTTAGGTGAAAGTCTCCAAACTTGATGGAAGAAAACAAAAATAAATAAAATAACATAGGTTTCTACTGGATTTAAATTTAGTACATCTAAGAAGCATTTATCACAAAATATATCTATATTGTAGCTATTAATCCTGATGTTGATTTTTAAATTTTAATAACCAACAAATTTAGTCTCTCATTGAATATAATTTTGGTTTATGATCTGATTTTTTTGTTTTATTTTATAAGTTATCACTACAACTGTCTTACGGCCATTTTCTTCATATGAATCCTTTCAGTTACAGAAAGCTAATTGAATTCTGAAAATCTTGTTTGATTAAAAGGTTTAATGTAAAACATTTAGCATTCAGAGTAAAAGGAGAATACATCCATTTAAACTGAGAAAATTTCAAAAATTTCTAAGCTATTTTTTTTAGTTTATTTTTATGATCAGTATTCTGTTTAATTTAATCACTGACCAAATCAATTTTTTTCATGCAACATTTTATTTTAGAACATATTTGTTTTCTAATTTAAGAGCATGTAATACAAGATTCACAAAGAAAGGTTTTTCATTTTTTTTTTTTTTGCCTTAAAACATCTTATTTTGACCTGGGATTAAGGGTAACTTGTGCATAAAAATATCCTGTTTACAGCCAACAGAAAAAATATCTCTAAATCCATACAGTATAACACCCATAATTTTCTAGATTTAATTCTTAGAAATAAAACAGTGTTGCGGGAAAGTATGTGTCTGTATCTTATATATGTACAAATAAATATATATTTTGTAACAAAATCCTCAATAGCAAGTGCAGAAGAATTTTTCTCACTTTTAGTTTAGAAATAACTAAAATTGTAACTGGTTGTTTGCCTTTGATTTCAAATTATTGGTATTACTTGGCATATGTTCAGGATATTCATTGTTGCTCTGAAATGTAACAGGAACTCCAAATATTTTGGGTTTAGTCTGAAATCAAAATTTATTTTATCAACATGTTAAATTGTGATATTCCAAAAAGAATAAAATACTTAATCCTGAATCTTGGCATTTTTTGTATGTAGATTATATCTACATATATAATTATAGATAGTATTTAAAATGAGTAATAGTAAAAAATTACTGTGCATTTCATTAATATTGGTCAACTGTGTCAAAGTGGATCTTTTCATAAAATTGACAGCTACTCCTAATTTTGGTAAATTGTTTCATGAATATTAATATGTTCATTATTTCAGGTACATTAATATATTTGTTATTCCTATAAATTCTAATATTTCAAAAATCATCTGATTCAGTGATAATCTAGAGCAGAAAAAGGGACTAAATTTCTTTAGCAATGACTTAAATACTACACATAAAATTTGATTTAATATTATAAAATGTATGTTTTATATACAACAGTGTGCCCAGTGTTGAAAGCCTACATTTCTATAGAATCCAAAATCTACTGAGTTCACCTTAGGATCTTCCCAGTACATAATTAGAATTTTTCTTTTTCTAAAAGCCATAAATAAAGGGATTGGGGGGAGTGTTACATAATTAAAAATATTACAGACCCTTGAATCAATTCAAAGGCAATTTGGACAAGTAAGTTTGAGATGTGTGTGTGTGTGTGTATATATATATATATATATATATATATATATATATATATATCTCCCCGATTTGAAAGGGCTATCTTTAATAGCTCAGTGCAACATCTCCATTCTGCTGATGTTAAATTCTGGCTCTTTGTTTAATCACAGTAAACCTTTGCTTTAGCACCATGGAAACTACTTTGATTGGGTTGAGCTGTGATAAGTATCATGGAAAGAATTCACTGGTGGATTCTAGCATTACCCATTGACAACTATGAACTTTGATACTAATTTAGATTCAAGAAAGGTTGGAAATTTTACCAAATCCCAAGAACTGTCACCAGTATACTTCAATTCAGATTGATGAGACAAATTACATTTACTGATTATGTATGTATGACCTAGTTTAATTCAGAAATACCAATTTTTTTTTTAATGTGGTACACATCTGTTACTTATTTACTCCTTAGGTTTAGAAACTTGGCCAAGTTTCCCCTTAATTGTCACCTTTTTTTTTTTTTGCATTGTTTCTTGGACTAACCTAAGTCCTTAGAAAATCCAAATCAATAGAAAATTGTATTTTTAATTTCATCAGGTAGCTGTTTTCACTTTGTCATTGAGTGTGATGCATGCATACATTGCTTTAATTCAGAGTCTGTTGATATTAATTGCAGTAGATCATTTTTAACTCCGTTTTCTACTCTTTTCAATTTTCCCCATAAGCTTATTTGTAGATCTAACAGATATCCCTGTCATCTGGGTTATATTGTGGACCACTGATTCCTGCTTAATAATTCTTCTGGTAATATTTTATCTTCTATCCAATAAACAATACTGCCTATTTTGCTTCTGTAATAACTTATTTACATATGATTAACATTGTGGTAAATTTATTTTCTACTAGTCTGCCAATATAATGAAACCATCTACTAAAATACTCTTTATATCCTACCAGTAAACAAGGTGTTTTGGGAGGCTCAGCATGTTAAAAGCCTCATTTTCATATGCATAAATAAATAATTATCAATGTATAAAATATACAATTTTATTTATTTTATTACCAAAGGTAATATTTGAGTTATTCACTTAGCTTAGTATAGTGCACACTGGTGCAAATCAAGTATCCCCCCCCCACATCCAAACTTCCAAGTAGGGAATCTCTTTTGCTTTGAAAATAAAAGAAAGGTAAGTTGAAATCCTGTCATTTATACAGATCACTAGCATTGTAGAGAAATAAGTAACTTTTTAACCAAACAATATATTAAGACTAGCTTAGTATGGTATAAGGTCACAATAATAAGCACATGAGGACAAAACTCATGCAAGTACAATTTCTATATATTGGACATATTTTCACATTACAGGGATATTTTGTTTTACAGTATGCTATGAAATAATTTTAATTGAAAGCTTAGCAGGAATTATAATATACAGAATTTAGGCCTTTAAATTATTTAAATCCCTTTTAATCTTTATCACTCTGATTTCATTTGCTGTACAAATCCTGCCACTGAAGGTGACTGATCCCTGAACAATAGTGTTTGAATTTCATAATGGTGGTGTTGTCATATCCTGCTAAGGCAATAGAAAAGAACTTTGAATGAAATTAACAATAAAGATACTACACTTGAGAGGCCTTGAAAAAGAATTCAGTAGACAGGGAAGTAATATTAATAAGGCAAAGAAATGTTAAATACAATGTGTACATATAAGACCCATTCCAGCAGAGAATATTAAAATGAAAAATATTTATTAGATAGGAAAACAGACATTATTTGATATACTATATGGCATAGTTCCAAATTGCATTTATTACAAATATATGAAATTAAAATATTTCAGTTGGAGTAGATACATATAATGCATAGAGAGAAATACAGTAAAATAAAAACAGAATTAAAAGAGATAATTATTTTTACAAAAATAGCTTTGAAAAAGAAACTCAAAGATACAAAGAAAGGATTCATTAAAACATAGACAAGGAAAAAAAAGAAAAGTATTAATGTTTCTTTATGACCGTTATCTTTCGACGTGGAACTTCCTGAGGTTCATTTTGTGGATCCACTTCAGCATGAGAGGTGTACATCTGTGTCATGGTTACAGATGACACTTCCTTTGGCAAAATGAAGAGGTTTTCACTTGATTCTGGGCTTCCAGATTTTCGTCTTTTGGAGTTTGAGGTCTCAGAATCAAGGTCCTCATAATCACTGTATTAAAAGCAAACAATTTAGAAAAGAATGTTAATAGAATAAAGCCATTATGGTTAAAATGAATGTACAGGGTGTAGCAGAAATACTTCCCACCTTAGTATCTTCATCTAGTTAATGTCTTACTATTATGTGGGAGGCATTTCTGCTACACCCTGTATGATGGAAAATATTTGTGAGGAGAAAACAAAATCTTAATAGCAGTCAGAAAATAAAAAGCTTTCACTAATCAAGTAGCAAAAAAAAAAAAAAATTTCTTTTGATCATGCTTTTAATAAATCAACAGAAATTAAGGTAACATAAGAGGGGGAAAAGAATTAATAACATGTTACTACCATAACTTATTAAAGATTACTTGTTTATATATATATATATATATATAATTTTCTACAGAATTAATGGATTTATATTTAATCTGACATTTTATTATTCCAATGTTATTTTTAGTCAATATTTGAATAGATACCCTTTTGTTTGTTTTTTTAAGTGTGTATTATGCCTGTCAGAGAGCACACTTGAGAAGTGTGCTCTCTGACAGTGTTCAAATGTGCGTTTTCCTTTTTAGGGAGAAACCACTGTCTGATCTTTGACAGCTTTAAGGGATGCACATAATCTTAATTCACACACACTATATATATATATAAGGAAAAAACAAAAACTGTTGGTGGATCCAATGAGCAACTTGCCAAAACCTAAAACCTTTATACAGATACAGTCTCAAATAAAACCTAATAAACTGCAAAATGGCATAAAAGCAAACTTACCCACTTAGTAAAGTGCTCAAAGCCCAGATTGCGCATGCATGCACACACACATATAAGAGCCAAATCAGAAAATTTAATCCTGACTTTTCAATGAATTTCTAGAGTTTAAAAAAAAAGGTTACATTATACAAATAACAGCAATGTTAGTATTGGCAGACCCTTTATATTTTTTGAAAAATCTGAAATAGTAAAAGATTTAACAATGTTTTTATACAAACATACACAGTAGCCTTATTCTGTTAGTAAAGTGTGCAGTAATTCCTGATCGATGACAATCTACTTTTTACTTAATTGTTGAAACATGCTAAAACAAATTTCTCACAAAAAATTTTGAAATTCATTGCTTAATAAATGCTAGCATTATAATACACTTGTAATTGTTTCATTTTATTTTTCCTCCCTCTATCACCAGGATTAGTGTGTCACTCTGTATGTAATGTTTAGACTGAATGAAAGTTTTGATATATTTTCCTAATAAATCCTATGTCTATTATCTTTGGTTTCATTAAAAGTTACTTTGTTTTTGGATAAGTGTAGTTTATAGTAATTTCTTATTAATGATTCTAAAAAGTCATGTAAGGAATTATTTTTATGAAAAAAAATGTTATCAGTTTCATTTTCTCTATTTGGCATTCATATACAATTGACTTGTTATTTTTATATATACATCCAATACAAGAGGGATAGATAACAATTGACCCTAGACGTGAAGAAGTTAAAATTGTGATGTCAGAGAGGTATCCATGTAAGTGGCTGTTCTACAAAGAAGATTTTGGAGTGGAATACCCTTTTTAACAAAAGAATATATTGAAAAAGAGGGTGATTCAACTATATTCATGTCAGTGAAATGTTTTATTGACCATTCCAGGACAATGATTGTTTGAGGGTGAAAGCAGTACAAGCAAACTGTTTTGAACTATTATTTAGTTCACTGCCAACCTGAGAAAATCAGAAAATTTCTCAAGAGATATCTTGTTAGTCAGAAACAGTTGGTTAATCTAAAATTTCTTTGACCATCCTGTATTTATATCTACTATGAATTGTGGGTTTCTTCCATTGCATTATAATAATGAAACCAGCCATGACTATTTGAAAAATCATTATTCATAATTACTACAGCTAGTAGAGGAGAATAGTTAATAGAGGAGAAAAACAGTGTTAGTTATTTTGAATGTCAAATAGAGGAAATCTTATAAATATTCATAAGAAAACAACAACAAAAAAGGGCCAGTAAATTATGATTTAGTGAGCCAAATTTTCATGAATATTTATGCTAATCATTCATGTATACAAAAATAATCTAATAGGTTATATAAACAGCTAATAATTAACTATCATATCTCCAGTAAGAATTTCTTTAAAAGAAAACTGAAAATGGTTGTTCATCGTAATCATTGCATATATAGTGGAAAGAAAATGTCAAAGCTTTTATAATATATTGGGTTGGCCAAAAAGATTGTTCGGTTTATTAAATAAATTTCCTACTTAATAAGCAAACAAACTTCTTGGCCCACTGAATATTCATTCAGATGTATAGAGATAAAACAGATGATAATTTTATACTTAATTATCATATTAAAACAAAAAAAAAAATATATATATATATATATATATATATATATATATATATATATATATATATATATATTACAGTACTGGCATTACTATTTTTATGTAATTTTTATTAATAATCTGTTTTACTGAGTAAAATCTCTTTTCATCGACAGTCAAAGCAACTTTTTTTTTCTCCCCACCTCAGTTGATCATCAGCTATTGCTAGGATAAAGCATTTCCAAATGGCTATTCTCTCCCATGTCTCACTAGTAAATCCTTTTAGGTCATCGACATGTTTTTTCCCCTACTACAGTTGCTACCCATCAATTGCACATCAATTAAACAACCTTTTACTTCATCTGTTATCCTTTCTTCTTGTTACCCACAAGTTGTTACCAGACAGCAAAGGAAATTAGCTCTCTTGACACATTTGAATAAAATATAGATGTGCGCACACATAATGACAGACCTAAAAATATCTTTGCAAAACTTTAAAAATAGTTCTATTTATTACTGAATAATATCTTATAACTAGCAGCATGGCCTGGCATTGCCCATGCTTGATTCAAAAAATTGTACGACTCATACAGCAATCGCTATCACTTGATTTAAAATATTTTTGCCCTTCCTTGCCTTTAAAGGAGTGCCCTTTGCTGTGCTGATGTTGCTACATGCCTTACTTCTTGCCTATCTCACACTGCGAATTTTTTCTAAGCTCTATACTAAACATTAACTCTGTTATGAAAAAAGAAATTAAACAAAATGAACACAAAACGATCAGCTTTAAAAAAGGACTCATAACTGGAAAAACCGAATGAAAAAAGAATGTTAACAACAAATACTTTTTTCACACCCAACCCAGTTCTCATGGAATCAGAATCAACGTTGAGTTTAAGCAAGCGAATGAGCCAATTGGAGTAAAAGTGCCATGCAAATTTAAATTTTCCCACTTGTGATAAATGCAGCTATCGATTTTTTTTTTTTCATGCTAGCTTGCTGGTTAACATTTGTGTCAGTCAGCTGTTGGCTCTCACCCTGGCCAATAGAATCTTCCTGCCTATTCGTGGCAGCCAGCTATAGGCTCTCACTCTGGCCAGTACAAAATGGCCACAAACTACATGAAAACTGCCGTAGAAGCATGAAAAAATCAATTATTTCCACTATCGATGGGAGTTGGGAAATGCAAAGTCAGTCTTGACCTTCCCGCTAACTTGGAGCACGTGCATGTAAATTTTGTTGCAAATTCATTGAAAATTGCGGCCATGCATTCATTACACACACACACACACATCCTGCCTTTTATAGATAGAGATTATGATTTTTTTTTTTTTTTTTCACCATCATTATTGTTGTAGCATACCTATGGGCAATAATAGGTATGTCCCCATTCACATAAATACAGTAGTAAATACTGTATGATAGTCTGCAGTTGGAGATTTGTCTCCAGCTGTGCTGGTCAAACTCTCTATCTTCAAGCAGAGAGGATCCCCAGACAAGGCTATATCAAATGGGAGAGTCTCATTTTAGGGAAAAAACTACCTGACCCCATTTTATATAGAATCTATGGGGAATTTTTGACTGAGCCTATGGGCTCAGATACCCTAGATTAAATTTGGCCTTGTGCCACATCTGACTGCATGAGGCGGTTGGTAGATATCCTGCAGTTGGAGATTCATTGTGGAATTTACTCGACTCACTTCTAGCAGTTGACTACTTCTACGCGCTGCTGGCGAATCTTATATGTGTTGTTCTTGTCCTAAGTATTGATTATTCTATTCAGTAAGCTTCCCTAGGTTAGAACAATTATTTTATTGCTAAGTTCAAGGTAGAGATTGTCTAGACTGTCTGGAAAGGGAATGCATTATTTCAATGTCAAATTTCAAACTTAGTTAAATTATGTGTAGACATCTGTGATTTACATTAAGAGGTACAAGCACATGTAAGTCACACATGCACAACACTGACATATGCATATACATGCAGATAGGGTGACTAATAAAGACTCAGCTCTTCTTTTATAATGTAGATTAGATTATAATTTTTACTGCATATATGAAAGAGATATGGAATTTTCAAGATTAGGGAAAAGGTTATATAAATGTATTACAAAAAATATTATGGAAATATTATGTTAAGGATACTTATTGCGGGCATGTTTGTTCATGTTTGCCTAAAAAAAAAAAAAATGGAGTCACAGGGAAAAACAACCTTCACACTTCGACAATGTTTATTGTTTTAAAAAGCAATGATTAGAATTGGAATAAAACGTAAACATATGAAAATGCATTTATATAAATTTGTCCATGTTTGCCAATATTTATTCAGTTCAGCACAAAACCAGATTACTACAACCAAATCTTATTTTTGAGAGCCAGCTGGCTAATCCTGAAAATGATAATCAATGCTGCTAGGAGAGATGAGCAATAATTTCAGTCACTTTTAATCATTGGTGAAGAACTTTCTAATCTTTGCTATACTGAAGATTTTGTTTTACCAAAAGAAAAAAATGTAATGAAAAACAAAATAATTTTCATGGTAAATCAAGAGACACACCTACTTCAGCTTGTGTTTCCATTTCCAAAAGCACCAGGCCAGCAGAAGACCAAGTGTAATTCCTGCTAGAAGGGACAAGAGGACAACCAACAGAAGCATTACTGCCAGGCCTGATGGAAAAAAAAAAAAAAAAATATCCCGATTTTAAAAATCATTTCAACAAAGCTAAAGAAAGTTTTTTTTGTTTTTTTTTTCTTATTTACACATTACTTACACTATATAGCTTAATATTTTCTGTCTGTACACCATTTGGCTTTTTATAAATAAAAAAAATATGTAAATTTGTGAATGTTTATAACCAGCTTTCAACATTCAAACAGAATCTTAAAAAATATTTCACTACTGTATTATTATCAGTTATGTGCCATGTGTGATACACACTTAGGCGATCATGTATATTTCAATACATGACTGACGAGGTAGATTTTTTCCCTACAGTAGGTTGCTATTTCTTTCTGTGGTAGACCAGTTGCCATCCAAGGCTATAGAACTTGGTCTGTCCTGCTATTTACCCAAAGCTGAGGGGGAGAAAAGGATTCATACCTTTCCCAAGGGTATTAGCACGTAAGTGAATGTAATGGATTCAACTGGAATTCAAAGTCGGTTCTCCAATTCCTCAATCCAAGCCGTTATCCATTACTTCACTGTGTCTTCTCCACTATTGTATACCTTGACTAAACTGACATTTAAATGGGTGCTTCTAGTGGATTGCCCTTAGGTCCCTGATACAAGGTCGGGGGTGGTGGAATAATTCTTAAAGAGGGGTGAAAAATCATTTAAAGAGTGCTAAATTAATAAACAGATACTGAAAATTCCATGGACGAAAGTTAGTAAGCAACAAGAAAATAGTGACACTTCTATTCAAAATCAGGAAAAAATAGCTGAAATTTTTTGGAGGGCATATTGAAGATCAGAGATAGGGAAAAGCAAGCCACTTAGCTTACAAGCTTGTGTGAATGGTTGGTAGGGTGGGAGACCTTAGTAAATGGAGAAAAATCTAAGAGCCACATGAAATAGAAAATTGTGGATAGCCATGGTCACTTATGTTTTGAAGAGATGTGGCCTATAGAAAATGATCTTAAGCTTGCCTTGGGGTAGAAAATCTCAAAAAATAAAATAAATAAATAAATAAATAAAAATAAGCATCTATCTATTAGGTACCTAAGTACTTTAAAAAAAAAACGTTACAAGTTTCTAGTAATTCATCTGAAGTTAATAAAAATAGTTTTACCTTTGTGAACACAGGGTTCCTGAGATTGATCAATTCGAAATATCCACAAACCAGAAACATTAACATTTGACTCATACTGGATTTTCGAAATTTCTTTTGATGTAGATCCAGGCAACATAGAATAGCTGATACCATCTCCTCCATTGTAACCAGCCTATGGAAAAAAATTAATTGTTTGAAGAGATAAACATAAAATAAGTGCCAGTATCTTCCCTTTTTGTTTTATAATTCATGAACAAAAAAAAAAAAAAAAGGACCTTCTTTTTTGTTATTTAACATTTTATATCTTTACGAAGACTGTTTTAATTCCCAATTAATATTTTTGCAACAATTAAATCAGTTGTACGATTTATTTTTTTTTAATAAAACACAAAATAACTTTCCTCTCATCTAAAAAAATTCCTCAATTTCAGCAAGCAAAATTTGGTTAAGATAAATACAAATATCTATTATATTTCTTTTGTGAACATTGTTAATATAAATACTATTAACATACAATAGGTGGCATTTCTTCAAATATATCAAGAAATAATTACCACTGCTGATTGGATCTTATTTTCATCTGTTTTATTGTCAGGCATCTTCCAAGAGGTCCAAGTCAAATTGCCATATTGAAACAGGACATATGAGTAATCCTCAATGTTCACCAGAACTATCTGGAAAGTGTTTGTGACCTTGAAATGAAACAATAAGAAATGATTTTAAATAATAAACAATCACAATTCATTATATACAAATTGAATATTTCTATATTAGGATTTATGACACCAATAAGAAAAAAGTAGCAGGCAATAAGAACATTAGGTTTAAGCTGAAAGTTTAGGATTGTCCCACAGAGAATTAAAGTGTTAGTTTGAGAATTTGGTGATAGCCATTGTGAACACAATACCTGGGTTACGTAGACTCAATGGAAATAGGATGAGCAATAACTGAGCAGTACAAAAAGGATGAGATGAGAGACCCTTTGCCATAGTAATACTTAGATTAAATAAAGGATTTGCTTCAAAATTCCCTGAACCTTACCTGGACTGGAGGGCACAATGGTTGAAATGTGATAATAATAAAGATGATAAAATTAGTCCAAATACAAATAATATTCCAGAAATTCAGAATCAGTACAGGTACTTTATGGTTTAAGTTGTAACATTATTTTATAAATTTAAATAAAACACTTCATATTCATCATGAGGAATGGTTAGATCATTCAAACTTAACTGATGAAAAAGGGAAATACTGCCATGTCTTCTCCATGGCATAAGAGTTGATTCAGATCCTGGATAAGCCTAATGTTTCCAATACAGATTAGCATTATGCTTACCGTTTAGACTTCTTCCTCAGCTTCTGTTTTGACCTTTGTTCTATCGAAGTGTCACAACCTTGGGTACTTCACACCACTCACTGGTCCATGTCAAAATTGATGCCAAACCGAAAGCATCCTCTAATTTCCAATTTCATAGAATGATCTTTCAGTATGCAAAAGATGACTGGGATAACTTCAATTCTCCAACAGCATTCTTAAAAAATAAAGCTTCCAGAACTATTTCCATCAACTCTGAATGGATTCTTGAATTCTGAATTTTATCTTACACAAAATGTATCAACAAAAAGTGAAATAGCCAGCCTTGGTTCATGCCAGAATGTGCTGCAGCAAGCACTATTACCATCTCTATCACAGGGAACAGTATAACAGAACTCTTGCTGCCTTCAAGACAGCCCATAATCAGTAAAAGAGGGTTCTGGAAAATGCAAAGAACAACTAGGCACAGTCAATCCAAGCTAAAGTTGAAAGAAAAAAAACTTGGTTCCCATTCGTTTTGGAAAATCTTAAACAAAATTCTAAATAAAAAAAAACAAAAACTATCAGTTATTGTTATGAACTTAGTCTAACTCCATGTTCGACAAAAAGTGCCATTTTGCAACATCTCAAAGTCAGCTCAGGAAGTTTTTAAGCTTATTAAAAGCCTCATCTCTACAAAAGCTACTGATCTGGATAAAAATTCTGTCATTGTTTTTAAAACCTTAGCTTAGAGCTATCCCTAATCTTATTGTTTAATTGTTGCCAGAAGGAGGTTTTCCAATTCTACGGAAGGTGTCAGCTGTATGCCCTGTTTACAAGAGTGCAGGTAAATGTTTATTCCTGTTGAAATATTTCCCCAACAGCCTCCTCCTGTCATCAACAAACTTTCTAAGTCTATCATAAAAAAGAAAGTTGTTTATCACCTTAACAGAAACAACTGTCTGGGTGACAAACAGTATGTATTTTGATCCTCTAGATTCACTGCCTATGATTTGACTTAATAGAATTGCTAAAGTGCTTGATAATATTCTTTTTCACTGTTTAAAAATATCTACTCAAACATGTATATACTAAATATAACATTTATAGTAATATTAGAATAAACAAATCTATTAATTGCTCTTTCATTTTATATATTTATATATATATATATATATATATATATATATATATACATACACACACACACACACACAATTATAGCCAAAAATGTAAGAATGCCCAATATTTATTTTTAACAAAAATCTCAATAGCATAAAAATAAAAAGGCAGAAAATACCCATTTCAATTCATTAAATTTATTAAAGGCAATTTATTTTCTTTTAATTTCAGTGTAAATTAGTATTTTATATGGCCACCATTTGCTTTTCTAACTGCTTCCATGCAATGAATCATGCTAACCATGTGACTTAAATCCTAGTGCTCTAGATGCCCTTGGTAACACCCACAAGAGGCTTGGAATTGACTGGCTGTTTACCTGCAACTTTATTCTTCATGTAATCCCACAAATTTTCTATGGGATTGAGGTTGCCAGGCCATTACAATGAATTCAATGTTCTACAACAATGTATGTAGCTAAATTCCCAGATTAATTCTATGGATAAGATAAATTGGTATAAGATGACAATTAAAAAAAAATATCTTAGTCTTTTGCCGATGTGTTTCATCTTCCAACTTTTCAAAGGCAAAAATAAAATCAAAATGTTATTATTGACATGGAAAGAAAATATAAACCTCTTAGCATAAAGGAAATTTTCATTAACCAGAAAGAGACCTGTGCAGAAATGTCTCTCTTTTTTAAATTTAGATTTTGTAATGTAAGTATAACAAAAATATTTCAATTTCATTTTTGCCTTGAAAAAGTTGGAAAACGAAAGGCGTTGGCAAAAAACTAAGATTTTTTTTTTCAATTGTCATCTTATACCAACCATAGTTTGTAGGCTATATTTTTCATCATATCTCTTTCTTGGAAGGTTTTTGATATAATTCTGATGCACAACAAACTGCTGCTGTTAGTAGAAATGAAAAAGAACTGCCTGACATTAGTAAAAAAGATATGAACATTTAACAGAGAAACATATTCTCTAATGAATTTCTACAGTCAATCTTGGTTTTCAGGCAGGTTTGCAAGACAGTTGAAAATAATTAACCAATCTGTGAAAGACAGTCTTATGACTCACATCTGTATGCTCGAGAAGTAAAGCAGCTTGAATTCTTTTTACATGAAGTTGTCGGAGATCATGAAACAGTCGATTAGATGATATGATCATCTCTTGGGTTTGTTTTCCTGGCACATCAATTTGTCTTTTAGTCAGAATAAGAACCATCAGCTTGGTTCTTAGTAATAATATTGAACTGAAGTCTTGCTACACAACCCATTTGAACTGAAACTTCACATTCTAAGCAACCCTCTCCATATTATAGAGCTATTTGGGCTCTTTTTGAAAAAGAAAAAGTTCAGATTTTTTGCCCATTTTTAATTTACTAAAAACTATACTTTAGAACTACTACTATATACCACGTCCCTTCAAGAGGCGATCGTGGCTCTCCACAACTTCCTATCCTTTGTGGCCTTTAGCCATGTTTCTCCCCACCCCACTGCTATTCATTTGCCAAGCTTGTCAGGTAAATAGCTTTCTGCCATCATCTCTCTCTTTCTTTTGCCCTCAATATGTCCTATGAGGGTTAAGTTTTCCAAGCCCTTCTTCCTCAGTATATATCCAAGGAATTTTTATTATCTTTTTCTGATTCTGAGTAGAAGTGTTCTTTCTCTTGTCATTTTTTTAAAGATTTCCTTGTTACTTACACACTCTATCCATGGAATTTTCAGTATCCTTCTGTAGAACCACATTTCTGCTGCCTCCAATTTTTCTCCTTATCCGTGGGGTGATTGTCCAATATTCACTGCCGTATAAGACGATGGATATCACATAGCAATCCAGCACTTTTTTTTTTCTTTCTTTCTAGCAAAATACTAGGGCCACTTGACACGTGCTAATACCTGGATAGTCTACAACAGCCTGTGAAATGTGTTTTTCATGATAAGGCGTACAAGTGTATCTTGGTCTTCCTTGATCCCCTAGTTTGTCTCAGCAATGCGACAATAAACAGCAGCAAAAATTGGATGACTCAGCCTTTGGTCTGGAAATACAATCTGATACAACCATACAGCCTCACGAGCATTACCATTTGTATGGGCGTACATAAAAATCATATCTCCATGCTCACAATATAAATGTCCTCCCATTGTTTAATCGAACACTTCTCAGTTAACTCACTACTACACATGTTCAACATTGAAGACTAGTCACAAATTTACACAAATGATAAATGTAACCTAGTCTACATGGCAACACAGCTCCATCTACCATAAAATGTTTTAAGCTCAACTCAAAAATGAAGGATTTGTGGGCATATGTTTATATGGACTTTTGTCTTTGTTTTTTGTGTGAGAAATCAGCCCCCAAAATTTGTAAAAATATGTTTGATACACCTTTATATTTATATATATTATATACACACACACACACGAATAAAATACATACCGTCAGTAAATCTGTACTTGAAGTAATATTCTCCCAAGTTGCTATGAAGGCCCATTTAGCAACAAGATCCTTGTTTTGTGGATAGAGACACTGCACTTTACGTTTTATACCTTCTAGCTTTTTTTTGTCCATTGTCTGCTGGAACCATAGATCACCATGCTCCGTGATTTGCGGATTTGTCCAGTACGCTGCAATTAATGGGTAAGCAGTGGTAAGTGGTAAGGCTTGTGGAATGTTCTCCCAAGAAGCTTTTTGTGGATCCTCAGGATGAACACCTCCCAGTGTAATCACACCATTCTTTGTGAGCTGGTGAAGAGAAGAAAAGAGGTCAATATATTGTCCATAACTTTGTGAAAAGTCATTGACATATCCAAACTTGTCATCCCTGCACTCAAAGAAGATATTTGAGTGTCTGAACAATATGGCAGAAGAGAAAAATACATGAAATCAAATTAATTACTCATGAAAATTCTCCATGCTTTGTAATTTATGAATAGAATCCAAAATTCAGATATCTTAAAAATGCAAATTATTTATTATTTAAAATAGTGACTTACCCATTAAGAAATGTATATATGCTTAAAGAAAAAAAAAACCAAAAAAAAAACCGAACCTTCAATAACTTTAAAAAATGTCTCTTCTATTAGATGGAATCATAAGTAATTTCCATTTTAAGGAGTCACTTGTAAAGATAAATGTATCATCCTGACTAACCATTCCTTAAATTTAAGGGTACATCAGAAAGTAAAGGCAATTTTGAAATTACATGGTAAAAACAACAGGCAGGTACAACACCACACATGCTCACAAGATGACGGGTAGCTAGCTGCACACAGCATTTTGTTGTTCAGTTGAGTGACATGGAGCAATGAGGTCAGACCTAGGGTGTCTCGTTTTGGTGTGTGGAACCTACCCCAAAGTTTGTAAAAGTGTTTTGATACACCATATATATATATATATATATATATATATATATATATATATATATATATATATATATATATATATATTATATATAATATATATATATTATATTATATATATATATATATAAGTAGAGCCCGCATTGCCGGGGATATAACAATAAGAGATAGATCAAGTATCCACCATCATAAAGACTGAAAAAATAAAATTGACAAAGATTATTGTTTAAGGTTGGGGACCGCATGTCATTAGTTTTTTTTTTTTTTTTTTCAAATTGGTCAAACCCAAACTCAAACAAAAACATTGTTTTCATTCCTTATGAGTCTCCCAATTGAATAGAATACTTTTATAAACAATTGTCTTGTAAATGGAATTTTTAAAGCATTCTGAATGTAAAAATAAAGAAAAAAGTGTGCAAGACAATATTAGTGTTATTATGGGAGTGTGCAAGACAATGTATTAGTGTTATTATGGGAGTGGGGGGAATCGTCGTCGTGATGTCATCGTGCTAATGCAAACATAGATGCATGTTCTAATACACGCAATCTACATAAACCCAAAATTTTAAAAAATTAATCAGTTTGTCTGACGATCGCAAAAGTGTGAAACCCAGGGTCACAAACTCACATCAATCCAACCAAATATATATATATATATAAAAAATTTATAAACTTTAGGGGAGGGTTCCTGACACCAAAACAAGGTTAAAGACAACAGACATTTTGTATCAATTAATTTTATTGATTGATTGATTTTTCCAAATTATGAGGAAAATGCATTTCATAAGAAATATGGTCCAAGCTTTTGATTTTAAGTAGCTTGAACCTCCGAACAATTTCTGATTGTATTTCTTCCTTATCTGAGAAGGATTATTCATAATTTGGAAAAGGCTATCAATAAAATTAATCAACACAAAATGTCTGTTTTCTTTAATAACATTTGATTTGACATATCAAATAACATTTGATATATATCGAGAGTCTGGCATGTGGACGAAAACAGATTTGCAGAAATTACTTCATCTCTTGGGAAATTAGAAAATTATGCCATTAGCGAGAAGAGAGGTAGATGGGAATTATATTTCCATTGGCGAAAACGAATTGAGAAATAAAAACAGGGAATGAACCTGCTGCGATTATGAAAATTGATCCTGTCGTAATAAGCAGGTGGTTTGGTTCATGTTTTTGCTAAGACAGCAATCAGTCTAAGGATGTAAAACAGCATGTCTCTTTGTTGAGAATTTAGGTAAACAAATGTTGACAAAAACAAATTGGGAAATAATTTTTATCTATCATTTGGAAGGTTAAAATGAGAAGCAGTGGTCTGGTTTGTGTTCTCACTGGACAGAGGTAATAGTTGGGGAGTGGAAGGGAGTCAGAGAATTGAAATTAATGAGGAGAATAAACTATGCCCTTTCACCTATACACTTTAAAAATTAGATTTGTCACAAAGACAGTTATGCTATCCTTTACAAGTTGACAGAGTTAGAATACTGAGACGGGAGAAGGAAGAGGAAGAATGTAGCCCCCACCTGTGTAGAGTGATGGTGCAAGATGTGAAGTGAAGCAAGTTGGAATTAAGGGAGGAGCAATCTCTGTGACTACTCTCAAGGAAGGTAGATAATTCTCCAAATTTGGAAAGTTAAGAAAGCAGAAATAGGGAACAAAGAAAACCTTTATTGTGATAAATTTGAGGATTAGGGAATCACCAAATCCCTAGAACCCTTTGGCCTCATGAAGTGCATATAAGAAGATGACTTTGGAAGCTCAGAGACTTGGGGCTGAGAACCTGCATTGAGTGCCTCTGACATCTGTCAGCTGCCACCAGATTTTCTGATTCCCAGAACTTTGAACCCAGCTCCTCTAGAAGTTTAGACACAGCCTAGTGTCACTATTGAGATTGATGCAGGAAGGGTCAAATTTTATTGTACCAAGAGCTATATAAACGAATTGAAGATAAACCCCATGAATCACTTGTTTTATTTTTCATTGTGAAGATATTTTTCTTCCTTAATATAGAACCTGCCATGCCTTTAACCAGTGCTGCGATGCTATGACCTTTGATCTTCCACTGCTTTGAGATCAAGAACACAGTGTGGGCAGAATTGGTGGGGATCAAAGAAGCTAATGACCAACAACCAGCTTGGACCAGCATCAGCATTGTTAGCCCTGTGGTTAAGACATTGTCCTAAGACCCTAAATGTAGTTACATCACCAGGTGTAGGCAACGGCAAAAGGGGTTATATACTAACTGGTGACAGTTATCAAGTATTTGACCCTGGGTTGCAGGTGTTATCATTGCAATTGTGGGCATTAGACATGGATCTACACAAGACAGAGTGCATAATGGCTTAAGGTATTGTTATTGTGTGTTGGGTGCCCAAACAAGCATCTGGTGCATATGTGGTTTCATGAACAACAGAAAAGTTTCTCTTTGGAAGGGATGAAGAAGCTTGTTGGATGATACCAGAAGTGCATTGCCATACAGGATGTTGAAAAGTGACATATGCATTTGTTCTTCATCAATGAAAATAAAGGTGTTGTATGGAAATTGCCTTTACTTTTTGGTTTACCCTGATATATTTTAATGAAAATGAAAAATGGATTACATACAACAGTGTTCAGCGCAAAAGGCAGTGGATTGACAAGGCTAACTCTCTACAACCAACCTCCTAAAGCTGAGCTCCCTGGAAGAATGCTAATGTTGTGCATGTAGTGGGATCATTCAGGTATTATTAGAGTTCTTTAGTCTACCTGTATTTAAGTTATCAGATTCATTTGAATTCCATAACTGGCAAATCAATTTACTATTTTACAGGTAATTAACAAAAAATATCACAAGTTTAACCTTATATAAATATCCCCATTCAGTTTTGTCCAGACAAGGATTGTCTATATTTATTTAATGTAGCTGCTGTGTAGGAATCATTTTTACATTAGCAAGATAATCCAGTACAGTGATGACCAAAATGTTTAAAGGAAAAAAACCCTATTGAAAAGAGTAGTTTATATACCTTTAAGATTATGTTGTAAGTTTTAAAAAGAACTATGGTGGAGTAATGGACAGCGGCTTGGATTTAGGAATTGGAAAGCCAAGTTCAAATTCCAGTCAAATCTATTACATTCAATTACATGCTAATACTCTTGGGAAAGGTATGAATCCTCATCTTCTCCCCCCCCCCAGCTATGGGTAAATAGCAGGACAGACTGGGTTCTGTAGCCTTGGATGGCAACTGGTCTACTGCAGATAGAAATGGCAACCTACTGCTGGAAAAAATCTGCCTCGTCAGTCATGTATCAAAAGATACATGATCACCTAAGCGTGTATCACACATGGCACATAACTGACTAAATAAATACAAATTAAAAAATTGCTTTTACAGATATTTTTTAGTAAAAACAGGTTTACTTTTGCATATTCTAAGTTTTTTAGGATTGAAATTTGACTGAATTAAAATGAATAGAGGCATTACATTCTTGATCATAGTTGAGTAACAAAAAGATCAAATAAAAAAAAAAAAGAAAAACTGAACAAAAAACAAAACAAGTGACATACTGATTTGTATAAAAAACAAACAAACAAAAAACAGAAAAAGAACATAAAAATAAAACAAAACAAGTGCTGTACTGGTTTTCAGAAAAATAAAATAACTTCCTCTATTTTCTTTTTTATGTAGCTATAGCAATATACCCACAGCCTAATAAGAAAAAGAAAATGAAATTATTTTACACAAAATATTTTTTTCATTATAATCTCCTTGTCAAGGCACTTCATTAAGTGGTGAATATTAATCATACATATATATTGAACATTATACAAGAATTTAGAAGGAACTGGAAACCCAATTCTAAACAGGAAACAATGGATAAACCTCTACGTTTGTTCAAAAGACTGGAAAGGAGTGTGAACCAGACAATAAGTAAACCTATCTACTCCTATCAAAAATAGTCATGTCTATGCATTTGTAGACCATTTGACAAAGAGTTATGGAATTTAATAAGCTGGATGGCAAGAGAAAAACTGTACCTCAGATTTTCTTTTATACCTACTAAACTTGTCAGAATGATCTCTCATGAATATTGTATTTTTTGTTTTGTTTTTTAACACTGATGTTCACCCTGTACAAGGTCTAAGAGCCACTCGAAGTAGAGGGTTATACAAAGTAAGACGCCCAGTTTATAGTGATATGTGGGGAAGATAACAGTTAACAATAGACTTGAACAGGTTAAGACTGCTGTGATGAGGAAAACATCCTCTTGAGAGTTGGTTCCACAAAGCAGTGGTTTGTAGGGGAAAAGCTGCTCATGTGGAAGTGTGTGTAAATAAAAGTTTTATTATTTATGTGTAAGTCAAAAAGAAATGAGATCACATTTTTGCCTCAAAATAGACAAATTCCTTGTTTAGGGCTCAAATTTCAGGCATAGAAGAAAAGAAAAATTCAATGTCCTGAAATCATAGCATTTAATACAGAATCAAAGTTGGACATAAGACAAAGTGGAGGTTTTTTTGTATAAAACCATATAAGATATAACTGTAGTTTAGTGAGAACAGAAAAAAAAAAAAGTATTTTAAAATGATCAGTGGGTTTACTGATTATCATTGGGGCAAGTTTTTGTCATTGTGCATGCATGTGTGTGTGTGTGTGGCTGTGCATTTACACATGTGCATATGTATAGGGTGTTGTAATTATTTATTCTTTTTTTGTCATTTTTTCTCTCCAGTTTACACTCACTCCTTAACATTTGTTCTTTTTTCTTTTTCTGCTTTTCTTTCAATTGTAGCCATTTTTTGCTATTTATTTATTTTTTTCGTTTTCTTCATCAGACACAAAAAAAAAAAAAAAAAAAAAAACTTGCACCAATGGTTAAAAAGAGAAATCATGTAGTATAAACAGTCTATTGCTGATTGATACCCCTCCCTCGATAAATGGATGAACATATCTGTCTACAAAACTCCGGAGTTAGGATGCTGAAGGTGAATGTCATCAAACAGCTAAGTGAGAAAACTTATATATATATATATATATATATATTTTATTATATATATATATAGCATAATGACAAGCCACGTATACTTTCTTAATATGTATATATAGAAAAAAGTTTCAAATTGAAAATTATAATGTTTTTATTTTATGAAAGTATTTATTTATATACTTTCATAAAATAAAACATTTTAATTTTTCAATTTCTATATATATATTTTATATATATATATATATATATATATATATATATATATATATATATATATATATATATAGCTCACTTGTACATATCTTTTGGGGAGGTGTATTTGGGCAGCAGTTTTTTGTTTACAAGTTTCATTTAAAACCAGTGAAACTTGTTTTTATTATTATTTTTTTTATTAATCCTTTCAACACTTCTAATAATTTTTCTGATTTCTATTTGCTATTAAATTATGAAATTTCTCAGATCTGATTCATCTTGGCTAACATCACTAGTCATTTTCAAAGGAATTTGTTATTTACTATCTTAAAAAATTAAACAGATGATGATGGTGTATATTTGTGTGTGTGTGCTATATATATATATATATATATATATGATTTCCTGATATCCAATGTCCCTAAGTCATAGTGAATTTTTTCTGGATTAGCTAAGATTAAATAAATACTTAACAGTAAATCTGATCCAGCATCATCTAAATTTGTTTAAGACTAAATTTGATTTTACCTTTTCTAATAACCAAATGCATCTTGAAATCAGTGACTAGAATATAGAATTTCAGTATGTTTTTTTGCTTTTTATTATTACTTCTTAATATTTAAAAATATTATTATTTGATAAATCATATTGAATTTGTTGGATAAAGCCAACTTTGCCACAAGGCTGCATTTGTAACAGTCTGTTAAGATTGTAAATTACTTGAGAAATATTGTACAAAGTTTGCAGTGTAACTAATGAACAATTACAAAGGCTTCTTGAACCAATCCCATTCATATATCTCAGTTTCTCTTTAGAGACACTTTAGGCTAATTTTTCAATAATTTGACCTTCTCACTTAATGTTTATTCAACTGACACCACTCCTGACAATTACATCTCACTTATAAATCATTTCCAGAATTATACAGGGTGTGCTAGCTATTTAAGAACATACATTCAGCAGGCCATAACTAGAATACAATCTAATGTGCCAAAATTTTAACATTCTTATTTTTCTTTCAGATGTATCAAGAGCATTGTCAATGGCAGTTTCCAATTTGACACGGGAGAAATAAAAGGTATGTCGTGCTTGTGGCATTAGTTTTTTAGTCAATAATTCAGAATTAGCCAGCTCTTGAAAGTTGCGTGATCCTCATACTAATGCCCAAGGTCAGAAAAGAGCTAGAGGCCTCTTATGGGGATGTGTCACTCATGGCAATGAGAAAGATAAATGCCCTCAGCACAAGTTAATGAAGGTCAATGCTGAACAGCTCAAGGTAGAAGAATCCACTATCAGATAATTAGGGGATATTAGGTTAAAATCTTATAGGATAAAGAAAAGTAGTTTATGCTCAACACAACCCAGGAGAACTGTGTGATCTGATCAAGGTTCTTCCTGACTGGTTCTGCTCCAATAAGAAAAATCTTTGAACAAGAGGATCCACGGGTTACTATGAAAATCCCACAGAAGTATCAGTGGTGATATACACAAAGTTCACATCATCTGGGATGGTCATAAGTGTTGTGAAGGTCATGTCATTTGACCCAGGAACGGTTAATTGGGAATTTTCACTATCATGTCAACCCAAATATTAGGCTGTCTAACTCTCTTGAATTTGAATCTACACATTTGTCTGGTTTGTCAAGAGGGAGACCTGCCAGTGTTTCCACAATGACAAGAAATCTTTTGAAGGCTGCCAGCATGAATGTGATGATCAACATGAAGAACCACTTGATCTAGGCATGTAATCATTTCTAAGGTTGCATCAAGGCTATCTATGGCACTGTGAGCAGTTTTATTGAATTAATTTGTTCTATTGATTGATTTTTTTTTTTTTTTTTTTTTTTACATCTTTTACAGGCTATTTAAAGCAAGAAAATATTTTTAAATTGTAAGAATTTTTTGGAGATAATGATTTACTGATAAAAGTCCTACTAATTAACCCATAGCTGGGGGAGTAGAAGAGTTGGATTCATACTATTCTCAAGGGTATATGCGTATAAGTAAATATAATAAACCCAACTGAAATTGGAACTCAACTCTTCGATTTCCAATTCTAAGCTGTTATCCATTAAACCATCCAAGCTTACAACACCTGATATTCCCAAGTGGTAACCCATCTAGGTACTAACCAGGCTCAATGTTGCTTAACTTTAGTGATCAAGAACTTGTTATAAATTGAACATATGTATAAGCATTTTTTTAAATATACAGATTTTCTGTTGAGTATCTTGATTTTTTTCTTTATAATTTATTTTCAATTGCTCCTTGTACAGAAGTAAAGATTAACTAAAACTCTTTGGAAAAACAAAAAACACCTGCGTCTATCATTGAGTCGAATCACAAATGTATGTCTCCTATTGTAAGATATGCTTGACTATCAGATTGCGTATATGTAATAAAATAAAAAGATGCAATACATATAATATATTCAAAAACATGGTGGCACTAAAGGTTATAGCTAGTGTGATCAAAGTAATGTTAATATTAGCTGTTTCCTTTTGAGGAAACATTCAGCATTTATTAATTGGGCAGCCAGTGCCACTTTTGGTTGAAATTTATAAAATATTTCCCTTAAAACAACTTTTCAGAAAATAGGTTTCTCAAGTTCAGTAGCTGATTGCTCTTTCCAGTATTAGTGCGGGCTTCCTTCTTAGCCTTTTGTTTGAAGTAGTGTGGAACTTCAACATCTTGATTATGTCATTATTTTCTTTGAGTTACATGTGATACCCAATTTAACTGTTGAAAGTTCTCAGGTGATGTGGTTTCTGTACATACAGAATATCCCAAAATCATGTGATTAAATAAAAACTGATACCAGGCCCTGATGTTGATTTTGCCAGAGATAAATGTGTGCCTTGTGCTTATAAGTACAGCAATAAACCCATAGTTTAATAATGAATAAAAAAAAAAAAAAATTTTTTTACTCAGTTAAGTACATTGATAAGGCAGGTGATTCTGTTGAGTGGTGGATATCATATCAATTATAGATTGTACAGTGAAAATTTCAACTCAACAACAGTATTGATGTTTCCTTATAAATATGCTCAGGTTTTTCCTTACCTTTTCATGTAATGAGAAATGATCAAATGATCTAAAATAATGAAAACATGTTCCTAGTTCGACAGAGGGCTGCTATCAATTAATTTTGAGAACTGTTATATTGTTTCTATGACAGAACACTGGATGTTTTTATTTAAATATATAACTAAAACAATGTACTCCATGTTCTTCAAAATTTTTATTGCTTGGAGTGATGTATAAACCAGAATTTTTGTAACTGCTACAAATATAATGGACCTTTTGAAATGTGATAGAAAGCAAAAAAAGTTTGGGTTTTTTTTATAAATAGTAAAGAAAAAAAAATTCAAAATAAGAAGTGATGATAATGTTTCATTAAAATTCTGAACATTTCTTGTTTTGCTGTCAAATAGCAAATAAGTTTTTAATGAAACTGTCAGATTAAGATATTGATTCAAAGAAGAAAAATGAAGTTACAAGAATCCCTCAATTAATGTGGCTAATTTGTACATTGGTAACTATAAAAAAAATCAATTTTCAATTACTATAGTTAAACTGAAAAATAGTCTAATTGAGTATTATGTATGCACTAATTGAACTTTGGTATATATAAATTCTAGTGCACTAATCAAAAACAATTGATTGCGCATTAATCAAGGGATGCCTGTATATAAATATTAGCATGGTACTCTCAGTACTGCTTGCATTAATTCTTGACTCCTGAATAAACATTTAGCAATGTTTAACCTTTGTGCTCACAAAAAAATAGTGTGTCAAAAAGACAGTTATTACCGTGACATTACTATTACTGTGTACACTTTTGACTCCCTCAGCACTGTTTATTGTTTTAAAAGGCAATTATCAGAATTTTAATAATTTTCTTGTTCACAGACATTTTTTTAAATTTCGTAATAAAAAATTTCTTTTCATATTTATTTCTTAATAAAATGATAAAGAATAAAAATTTTATTATAGTTGTTTCACATATTTTATCTCGTAAATATAAAATTATTCTTGTAAATAAGCAATCTAATAGTGTTTAATATCTTTGTTACCAATTCACAAAAATAAAGAAAATTTTTAAATCCCCTTTCATATGTTTGGGTTTTATTAAAAATTGTAATCATTGTTTTTTAAAACAAACATTGCCAAGGGAGTCAAAAGTGCATACGGTAATAGCAGTGTCAACAAAATAACTGTCCTATTGACACACCATTTTTTTGTGGGCACAAAGATTAAACATTGCCAAATATTCTTCTCAATTTTCAATGCCCAACATACAGATTGAAAAGTAAATATTTAGTCATGTGCTATGCGTGATACACACTTAGGTGATCATGTATCTTTCAATACATAACTGATGAGGCAGATTTTTTCTCCCACAGTAGGTTGCCATTTCTTTCTGCGGTAGACCAGTTGCCATCCAAGGCTATAGAACCTGGTCTGTTCTGCTATTTACCCATAGCTGGGGGAGAGGATGAGGATTCATACCTTTCCCAAGGGTCTACGGAATTTTTATATACATGCATTAAATGTTATTGGAATTTCATCCATGTTCTATATTTAGCTCAATTAAAAACAAGATTTTTTCTGGATTTTATTAAAAATTTATGAAATTCTACTATTTAAAAAAAAAAAAAAAGTAGGTCCCATATGCCATCAAAACAATATGTAAAAATTACAGAATACAATGTTTAATCATCCATTTTTTCCTTCCTGCTATCAGAAATATTTGAAAAATGAAGAAAATAACCAAAGTGGAGTGAGGGGGTAGCAGTAAATCCAGTAAGGAAGAAAAAAAAAGCTGAAATTGTACACCAAATGCAGTCAGCAATAAAAGACTATCCCACCCAGACCTGACCATCAGAATTTACTGTGTTACTATAAGGAATAGCATAAATGAAATTTAATATCTTTGTTTAATAAATCTTATATATGAGATCACAAATTATACAAATAGCTAAATAGAGAGAAATACAAGATGTTTTAATGTCTTTCAATTTGTAATACTTGACTGGTTATTTATTTAAAAATGTTTTTCTACTTGCTTAAATACAAACATTTTTTTCCATATTTTTTCTGGGTCTTTTTCTTTCATTTGTATTCTGTTAAAAAAGTATTTATTGAATTTCAAGTAAAAATTAAAATGAATAATTTATTTTTAAGCATTGACATTTTTTATTGAAAGCAGATTCTCTAGTTTTATTTAAAATTTAACTTGGTTGCAGTTGGAAGTTCTTTTATTTTAAATGTTTTTTTTTTTACATAATATCATTCAGAATAGAAGCTGAATTCCCCCACCCCACAAAAAAAAAAAAAAAATCATCATAAAAATTAAAATTCATAAACTCATTCTATTGATGAGTATATTTTTTAGCAAATCTATAAACAAGGAAAATGTGTGTGTGTAAGTTTTTTAACACATCTATAAATAAATCAATATGTAAGGAATAACAAAATAACAAATCCATAACATATAATATATATATATATATATATATATATATATATATATATATTAGACAAAGTGAAAAATCTTATAAACAATGTTTTTCACCAATGTCTGATAGTTTTGACTTCTTCAGGTTGGAATGAAAGACAAAACTGTATGTAAGGAAAATGCTTTGTGATTTTTTTGAAGATAAGAGGAGCAGTAAATTAAATTATTTTATCAGATCTGACAATCAGAAACCCAAAAGTGTGTTTATATATATTATATAAAACACTTTCTGGTTTCAGCAGACTGATTCACCTCATTTACTGGAAGCAAACTGCCTGAATATGGATAGAAAATAAATTCAGTAAATATACCAAAATAGAAAGAGGTGTAAGACATATTTAACTTATACAGTGAGGTGATTGAGAGAATTAGATGTCCTACCAAGATTGATTATTGGTGGCTACAATCCTAACAACATAAGATATGCAGATGAGACAGTGTTGATAGCAGATACGGAAAGAAATGACAAGAACTCCTACAGAAGGTAGAAGAAGAAAGCAAGAAGAAAGAACTAAACATCAATTGCAAGAAGATGAAATGTTTGGTTGTTAGCAAAAGGAACATCCCAACATACAAATTACAAATTGGGGATACCAAAATGAAACAAATACAACAAATGAAATATTTGGGAAGTGTTTTAACAGTGGATTAAAAATACAACACTGAAATCTGAAGACAGTTTGGGATAGTGAAAGGGGCATCCCAAAAGAAGAAAATTTCATTAAAAGAAAAAAAAAAAAAAAAGAAAAAATTGCTGAACTGTTATGTAATATCAGTCATCCTATATGGTATTGAATACTGTACAATCTCAGCACAGATGAACTAGAAACTTGAGGCAATAGAAATGTGGTCCTACAGAAGGATGTCTAGAATACCATGGACTGAATAACAAAATTTTAGAGGAAATAGAAGCAAGAAGAACACTTATACTTAAAATCAGAAACAGATGGCTGAAATTTCCAGGGAACTTAATAAGGAAAGAGGGTTTGGAAAATTTGATACTCACAGGACATTGACAGCAAGAGGATCAGAGGAAAAAAAGGTGCATAACCTACTTAATGAGTCTGTGTAAATACATGGCAGAACAGAGTTTAGGAAATAACAAAAGGACAAAATTTACTAAGAGCTACAAAGGAGAAGAAATTGTGGAGAGCCATGAAAGGACACAGCACTTAGAAGATAAAAACAAAACTATCTGAATTATAATGATCTGTGTTTTTTATTATAAGCAACATTTTAACAGAAACATTATTTTTCTTAATTTAGGTTTTAGCATCAAGCTGTATTTGCATTGGCATTAACTAAACTTAATTTTGTTTGGTCCAAGATCATAAGTGTGCAGCACCCAATAATAATCAAAGCTTGCTACTCATCATTCCACTTTAGCTGTGTATGTAGGTATATGCACATATATATAGAATTTCTTTAAAAAAAAAAAAAAAAAACCAACTCAAACACATGTACCCACTAAAAATGTTTATAATAATAAATACCGGCGGATTAAAAAAATCCATTCAGAAATTTTATATATATATATATATATATATATATATATATATATATATGCAAGGCATTATATGTTTGTTTATAACAAAATTGTCTCATACACACACTACTACTAGGATTTTCTAATTTTTTTTATATTTAACTTCATGTGGTCCTTTGCATGGAGAGGGTAATTCCCCCACCCCCCCAAAAAAAAAACTTACTATCAGCATTAAAGAGTGAAATTAAACAAAATCAACTTACATTAATTGTGTCATATATTCTTCCTGTGAATTTAAATGGTACATCCAAGTGAACTGTAAAAGTGTTTACAATACTCATTTCTTGAATCTGAATCCCTTTATCCTTCTCTGCCTGTCCATACGGAGTTAGCAATTCAAGTTCCTGGTCAGCCTGTGTTAAAAGTAACAACTGGAGCCACATTAACAAAATTAAAGTCTTGGTCATGCTCTGTTTTCCTTTTCCTTTCATTGTGATCATTATATTTTTCATTTCTTTTTGTTATTTATGATCTTTTAAAATTAGTTTTTATTCTTTTCAGTAATCATTTGATAAGGTTACATTATTAAGATTAAACTAAAATGTAAAAGCTTTATCCATTTTCTGCTTATGCTACAGCAATTTTTTAACCTAGCATCAAATAACAAAAAATTTGTATTTAAAAATTAACTTATATTGGTGGAGTCTTGAATTTAACTTCTCAAAAATTTAATATATATATGTATACATCATATATCAAATTTACAAAATTAATCAATTATAGAAGATTATAATTAAAAATAAACAAAAACAAAAAAACAAAGAGAAAGCAATATAAAAAAATATTTAAATATTAATGAAACATTCTGATGAAAAATTTGAGAGGGGAATATTTTTTTTTTCTTTTTTTAAAAACTTTTGGTGATTAAATGTGCAACTTTATGAACGTAAATGTTTAAGACAGCTCAAAATTAGTTGAGTTAGCCAAGAAAAAAATACTGCTACTGAAGTGTTCAAGAAGGTGTAAATTCTAATCTTTAAGGAAAAAAAAAAAAAAAAAAAAAAAAAAAGGTTCTTCTGTTGCAAAGGTGAAAAGTTTTTTCCAACTCACTTCTTGATCATCACTTGAAAAACAAAATAACAATTGTTTATTGTAAGAGAGAAAACTCCCACAATGAACAATAAGTAGTGATATAATGACAAGAGTTAGTTGTCCTGGGTATTTATAAGAGAATGTGTGTGAGGGGGAAAAAAAAAAAGTGGTGAGAAACAGAATAAAAGAGAGGAGGAGTGAGTGACTGATTAGTTGTAAAAAAGGCAGTAAGTAAAAGATCAAATTAGGTGGAAAGCAGATGGGGCAAGGGTAAGGATAGTAACAAAATGACAGAGAGAAAGAATAAATTAATAAAAAAATAAAATAAATTAAAAGAGTGTATTTACTTGCCTCTCTACAAAGTCGAATACAGTACACGGTCAATTTAATGTGGGAGGTTTCCAATTGTATATGTGTTGGTAATGATCGATTTGCTTTTTACAGCTTATCTGTCAAAACCTTTTTTTGGAATGTAAGAATAATCCCCCCCCACTCTTTTTACAAATGAATATCATATTAGAAAATTTTTGAAAATAATGATTTTTTTCATATAAATTCTACTATTTAACCCATAGCTGGGAGGAGGGGGTAGATTCATAGCATCCCCAAGGATATTTGCACATAAGTGAATGTAATGGACTCCACTGGAATTCGAAGTCTGCACTCTGTTTCTCATTCTGAGCAGTTATCCATTATGCCACCTGTATATTCTAAGTATTGATCAATTGATTGATTTGTTTTCTATGGCTTATTAACCCTTTGTAGGTTATTTAAAACCAGAAAATATTTTTAGATTAAAAGGATGTGTTTTTTTTTTGGGGGGGAGATCATAATTTAATAATACAAGTCTTACTAATTAACCCATAGTTGGGGTAGAAGAGGTGGATTCATACTTTTCCCAAGGTTATTTGTGCATAAGTAAATATAACAAACCCAACTGGAATTGGGACTCAGTTCTCCAATTAACAATTCCAAAGTTATAGCACCTGGTATTCCCAAGGGGTCACAGGTCCAGGTATCGACCAGGCTTGACATTGCTTAACTTCGGTGATCGTATGGGAACTGGTGTTTCAACTCTAATTTGTATTTAGACATTATATTTAATAAATTTCGGTATGCAATCCTGACAGAGTTATAAGCTATTGACATTTGGAAAGATGTTCATGAAATGCATTATCGGATATTATTTTTAAACATTTTTTCATGAATGTTTTTCCAAATTTCAATAGCTTATACAATGTATTTTTTTTTCAATTTTTCTAGTTGAATTGTTCACCCATATTGCATATGATCTATTATTGTACATAATTAGGTTACAATAAAATTTGTATTCTGTATGAATACTACCTTATGAAAATTGAGATGTAGTAGAGTGGGAGGAGGTGCACGAGACCCTTGCACCAGCCATCTCCCAGCTGAGTTGACAATGGATGTAACAACTTTTTTTACTATTTATGAGGGAGCAGTTTACTTAAGAGCTCATTCACCTACTGTTAGTTGCCAAATACGAAGTAGGGTCTTAATGATTAAAGTGGTGGGGGAATTTCTCTCAATATGCACTAAATGGGGAGTATTAATAAAATGGGGTGGGGCCAGAAAATCATTTAATCGTTCAAAAGTACAAAATTTAAAAAAATGGGTGGGGGATATTAATAACCTTGAGGCACTGGCGGAAAAGTCTCTCTAAAAAAAAAAAAAAAAAATAAAACTGATGTCCCCCACCATCTATTAGGCACCTAAGAGTAATCTCTCAATCATTGCAGCATATCAATGATATATTTTTGTTTTGAGATTGGGTGATAGACAGAGATATAAGGGATGTGGAGTGATACCTTTCCCAAGGGTACGAATACAAAGTTGTCTGTGTTGAAATTTGAACCATTTATGGATTCTATTTCCTGTATTGATAGTCATTGCGAAATTTCAAAGCTCCACCCATCTTATATATGCATACTGGTTTATTAATTACATATGAGGTTTTTATCAGTTATAATCATTAAAATAATAAGCAGAAATATTAAATTTTATCTCTAATGTCCCTTGATGTTGATATTAAATAAATAACAAAAAGCAACATTAATAACATTGTAAACTGATGTTATATTTATTTTTTGTAACAATGTTATAACAAATACTTTTCAATAGAGATTTCTCTATTTTTATTAAATACAATTGACACATGTAATAGTCTTAATTATATTTTTTTTTAACATAAAAACAATATTCACTAAGCATATTTTAGTCCATTTGACTAAAAGAAACATTTTCACAAACCATTAAACAAAATAAAAAAAAAAAAATGAAATGAAATAAAAAACTATTTTAGATTAATAATTACATTTTATTTTAAAAGAAAAAAAGATTTACTGTATTTATTCACAATTATATTGTACAATTGAATTAATTACAAAGTTACAATCATCAGTATATAATTTTAAATCCAACAAAAAAAAAAAAAAAAAAATGGTTCCAAACAGGGAGGGGTTAGGGAATCGAGATTAAAAACCTGTATTTGCACACCGGAAGGCAGCTGAGGCTAAAGATATTTATTTAGCATAAAAATCTAGAACCTTCAACCTTACAAAAATTCTTAACTTTCACAATTTAATTCCTATACCAATGTGTTAAATAAAAGGTTGTGGCTGATGGGGAGAAAAATGTTCCCTACTTTTAAAAGTTTTTATAAAAATGTAAGTTTTATCATCGTATAAATTATACATATAGTCTAAGCTGGTCAAAACTTGTATCAATTCCTGACCTCTGACAATCCCTTACTTCTTAACTTTCAATGCACAAGAGTGTCAAAACTTATTAAATAAATCCGAGTGGTTATATCATCAAAATTCCACATGTTACTGTTCTTTTGGTGATTTTCATGCATACATAGTTCTATGAACACATTTTTGTAAACAATACAAATCAAAATCAGGCTAATATAAATTTTTCCATAACTTTTCTAGCAAAATGTATTACATGACCAATTTTTAAAACTAATATTTACTATATGTTCACACATAAAATGTTAAAATGTACTGTGGAAATTTTGGTAATGATTTTACTATTTGGTTAGTTACTAGTTATATCATGATTAGAATTAGAGTTTTGATGCATTTAATCAAGTATACATGGGATATACATTCATTAATTTTTAAACATTAGACAAAAAAAAAAAAAAAAAATTAAGTATCAAACCCACAGACCTATAAATATGTATACTCTATTTAAGAATAAATCATATCAAATGAGATATTAGTGAATATACGTAATATCTAACATTGATAGCATGACGGAGTTTCATGCAGTTCTTGCAATCTTCAGGTGCAAATATATTCGAGAACATATTTTGCACCTGAAGATTGCAAGAACTGCATGAAACTCAGTCAGGTTATCGATGTTGGATATTATGTATATTCACTAATATATACTTATAGCCCCGTTTCATAACATTGAGCACTGTATTTTTAACACCTGAGAAAGAAATATATTTATATGTACATGCAAGTATATTTTTTGTCCTATATATATATATATATATATATATATATATATATATATATATTGTATGCACTTCAGATATTATTTTTAGTTGATACCTTTGTTTGAAGCAGATGTCCAAACATGTGTCCCCAGTTGTAGGAGAAACCTAAAAGGAAATGTAGTTTCAAAACCTACCAGTGGGCACATTTTCTTTATCATGTTTTCTCTATTTCAAACACAGGTATCCACTAAATTAACAAATGTTGGATTAAAAATAAATCCATTCTTTAAAAATTACCGATACATACACCCGCATAATTGAGCTTAGAAACCAGAGTTCTGTTCCTTATAAAACCTTCACTGATGATTGCAGCTACAGATGCCTCTGGTATTTTTAAGAGCTCACATTAAAATGATTTAGCATTCTACATGTAAAAAAACAAAACGAAAAATCCCCAACAAGCAAATCCTTTTTTCTCCCAATAATAGATTTGTAGTTTATCAGTTCAAAAATGAAAACTTTACAAATCAATAATTTAGATTTTATTTTTTGACGTCTGTTAAATTTCAATTAGAAAATAATTTTTTTCTTCAGATATAAATAATATTAATTTAAAAAAAAAAAAAATTTACAAAGTTATATTTAAAGACATATCAGTTAAATACATTTGATATTTAAAATGAAATTCTTCAGCTTTGGAATTTGTTTAGATTAATATTTCCACATATAAGATGAAGATTGTAATCAGGATAAATGCCATTGTAGAATCAATATTAAATATATTTTTGACAGAGTTTCAAAAACAGTTAACTTTTAAATCAATTTCGGTTATAATTTTTCATAATCATTTATGACCATGAAAAAGGGGGCTAGAAAAAATTACATTGCATAGAATTTCTCATTTTTTTTCAAAAATGCTGGTAATAAACAGCAGGTATATGAAATATTTAATTAAGAGATGAAATTGAGACAAGACACTAATATTAAATGTTGGCATTACATTTTATAAAGTTTTTCAAATTCCTTTTAAAATTCAGTTGGCTACTTTGTTGAAATACATTTAGTCTGTGACAAATTTAACTTTTGTCCAGGAAAATTCAAGTCTCTAATGAAAGACTCACATTAATAGTTATGCCTTGAGGGTGGGAAGACAGTTTATATTGAAAGAATCAAACTGTAGTAAAAATAAAATTATATTCAGTCATATCAAATGTGTGTGTGTGTATATATATATATATATATATATATATATATATATTGGAATTTTATCTATGGCATCTTAGACAGCAGTTGATAAAAATGAGATCAATATTACAAGTTTTTAAAAGATTAAAAAAGCTTTTGATGGAAAAAAAAAATTAGGTTAAAGTTTCCTTGACATAAATGATTTAAGTTCTGAGAAAAAGAACAGTAAACTCATGTCATTTTTGATTCATCAGGATTCCCAAGCCATTTGTTCCAGCAAGCCAACCAACCCTGACAATTTTTTTTTCTTTTGTAATGTAAGCTGGCTTTTTGAAAAATTGCTAGTCCTGAGTTCAAGTTTGAATCATATATATATATAAGAGGAGTTTTTCTTACAGTACCTTGTTTTTATGGTTGAAATTGAATTGGTGTCAGATTTATTTCTATTGTTTGGGAAAGACATTTCCAAAGGGAATAGCCTACATTTTTGAAAATGAGATGACATGGGAAAATATCAAAAAAGAATCTACAATTGAAAAATTATCAGAGAGGGTGATGTGTCTTTGAACACTTCAAATTTAACACATGCCAAAATAGATTGAAGATTTCAACAGAATTAGCACATGCTGTTTCCTTGATTACATTCTATAGTAGTCATTAAATCCACACACACACACTGATTACATGTAAGTATAGTAGGCTGATGAAGAATTTTGAAAAGACAGAATATCATTGTATATTATTAGGCGATTGGACAAAATAGAAGCCTGATGGAGAAAAATGCTAAAAATCGGAAATTTTAGATATGCCTTGTCCTTTCATTGGCCTACTATACCTACATTCTTTAAGCATATGGACAATCTTCCTCTACTAATTATATATATATATATATATATATATATATATATTCATGCCATTTATATTTTCAACTCAGATTTTGTTTCACCCCCAATCAATCTTTGCAAAGCCAAATGGCAATAAGGAATGGATGATGAAACTGGGAGCTTCTAGTCTTGAACCTGCAGGTTGGTGGCAAATTTATTCATCAACATCATCATCATAAAGGAAGTGATTAGCAAAGAAATTAAATTCTTGCAGACAATGATAAAGTATGCATCCTTTGCACTCATAAGTGCCAGGCACAAGTTTGACCTTATAGATGACCTCCTGGCTGCTAATTGAAAATCCACATGATACACAGCAGCATCACTTGGAAAGCACAAATTGAGCCATATCACAGATATATAAAGACCCATCCCAAGAAGTATAGAGAAGAGTCTCTCAGACATCTTACAAGAGAATGTAAGGTTTACATTTTGGATGAGGGGTCTGGAACCACTCTAAAAACACACTGGCTGACAGAAGTTAGCAAAGTATTGGAGTGAAATAAAATGTAATATTAAATATGCAGGATTG